CAGGTCAGTCCTTTCTCCAGCCGACTCTCCCACTCAGGCCCAGCTGCAGCTTTAGTGACAGAGCGCCCACCTTCCTATCAAACTCCACTCTCCACAGTAAGACCTCGCTGACAATATGTCTGCTCTGTTATTCATCTGGCGTGAGTCACCATCCATCTGCAATGATTATATGCACTCAAAAGTCACATTTGTTATGGAAACATCTTCTCTGTGTGATGACAGTGTATCTGTATTGCATGCATATTGTTAAAACCATGACAGTTGCCCCTGTTTTTTTTTTGGGGGGCATAGAAAGGGAAAAATCTCAGTGTGACAGATTGGGCTCTCCTGTGTGTTTTTAGATGTGGGTCGCCGGCATGCAGCAATCAGCCCCCAGTCTTCCCTGGACAGCGAGGTGGGTGTCTCGGAGCTGGAGGACGAATCCATCTCGATGAGCTACAAACTGCAGGACATGACAGATGTGGAGGTCATGGCACGACTTCAGGAGGAGAGTGAGTGGACTGTCTGTCTTGTAGGCGCTACAAGGGGTTGAGAAAACAAAATATACCCTTTATGAGATAGGACCTGAAATTTAAAGTAAATAAATCACCACTGCAAATACTGCTACAATTGCGAGTCATAATAGGTTGCATGCAAATAAGCTGCATTCATCCGACCTCTAATTCTGTTTGTCTGGGTTTAGTCATAATAAGAGTTGTTTGGAGCCTAGATTTTCAGATCCTTAATTGTGCGGTTGGTGGTTTGATTCCTGTCCAAGAGTTACTGAGCAACCCACTGATGCCCAAACTACAGTGAAATCTGTGTGTGGGAGAATATGAGGCATTTTATAGTGTTTTTCATTAGTGCTGCAACTCACCATTATTTATTATCACTATGATTTATTTTAAATTCCCCAAAACCCCATGTGGACTTGAAAATGTCTTGTTTTGTCTGGTCAACCCAAAGATAATGACAGTTTTCTGTCATAGAAGTGTATGGAAACCAGAAAATATTCATATTTGATTAATAAATGTACGCATACACGCGTGTTCATGACGAGTCGCCAAACATATTTTAACATTTTATTGGTAGAGAAAAGAGAGGAATCATTTTTTGTTTTTTTTGTTTTTTTCGATGTTGTTTTTAATCATTGCACTCTGATTTGGAGCTCTGTTATTTGTCACATGTTGCTAATAAACTTATATATCAAAGTGCTGAGTGCCAGGCCTCTATATAGCTGACAGTGTTTGTAATTGTGATTTAGTTCTTTTCCAAAAGGTCTTAACCATAGTTTTGATAGCATGTTTGCCTTTTAATAGAATATTTTGATCTTTGCTCTTTTATACTTGCACTTACAGTGTTTTTATACTTTCCTCTTTCCTTTTAGTTTTTTTCTTATGACCTGTAATTTATAGCCCTGTGAAGAGACTGAAATGGATTACTACATTGCTCATGTATGGCTGATACTAAGACAAATGTTTGACCTTTGAGCAGTTTCAGTACGCAAGATTAATATCTTGATGTGCTGTTGTTAAATTATGCAGGAGATTTCAGAAAAAAAAACTTTACTGTATCAGTCTGGTTTGGATTCAGTAACTGAATAATGGATGAGGGGCGCCTCCAGAAGGAAATGTACCAAATCCGATATGAGGGTCGGGTTCATGTGTTCCACAGATAAAAGCATTGATCTGTCACCCTGTAGGTCTCCGACAAGACTATGCCTCTACCTCAGCCACAGCCAGCCGTCGCAGCTCCAGCTTCTCCTTACACTCCCTCAGGCGCAGTGAGATGGATCTGGAGGAGGAGGATGAGGAAGACGAGGGGTATGACCAGCTACCTCCTCCCCAGCCTCGACTGTTCCGCACAGGGTCTATGCAGCGGGGCAGCCTGCCCCACTCTCACACCTTCTCCAGTATCAGAGACTGCAGACGCAGCTCTACCACCCCTCAGTTTTCACTCAGTGGACTCTCCCAGTACTCTGGACCCTCCAGCCTGACCACAGAAACACACACAGCATACAGGAATAGCACAGGTGAGTATTTAATGAACTCCTTGTCCACGTGCAGTTAAGATCCCTAAATATCCTCCTAACTAACAATGTGACTACAAGGGTTCTGATTTTTTCAGTGAAATTAATATGAATGTCCCAATTCACTGAAAGGATCTTGACAGAATTACCCACATTCAAGACTTCCCGAATTTCTGACCAGACAATTTCTGAATGTGCCAAAAAGGATTTAAAGAGTTCTCTTGGTTACAGGATTTAAAAAGGCTTCCTCAGTTAGGGTCAGTGTGTCAGTGTTCTGTCAGTGGCATGAAATGGCTGCATTGCTGCATGATTTGAATTTTCTCCCTATTAGCACCTTCACATGCTAGGATTTTTTATAGTTTAAGTAAGCCAGAAGGAATAGGAATAATTCTGGAAAATACTTGTTTACTTTCTTGCTGAGAGTTATCTGAGGAGGTTGATACCACTCTGATGTCTGTACAGTAAATATGAAGATATCACCAGCAGCCAGTTAGCTTAGCTTAGCATAAAGACTGGAAACAGGGAAACAGCTCTGTCCAAAGGTAACAAACCCCACTAACCAGCACCTCTCACTAATTAACACATCATTATTGTTTAATTCGTACAAAACCCAGATTATAAAAAATGACAAGTTGTGATTTTACAGGAGGTTATGTGAACTGATCAAAGGATTAGTGCCTGGAAGCAGTGACTTTCATATTCCCTAAAATGGTGAACCATTCATTTAATGTTGGATATGTGAGTGAAAAACTCCAAATGGAGTCGACACCTACAGTACCTGATCTGGTTTGTTGATCTGGTTGCATAGACAAGCTACGGAGAAGCATGCCCAACCTGATCCGAGCTCCCAGCATGCCCAGTGTTCCCAGTATTCCATGCCTGGCTTCCCCAGTCAACCCACCTTCCCACAGCCCCTCCTCCTTACCAACAATATCCTCCCTCCGAAGCAGCCAGAGCTTTGACTCATCCAATGGGCTCGCACGACTACAGTCCTCCAGTAAGACTCTTTTCCTCAAATCTGTGAATAAAAATTCAGTTATTGCAATTCTGTCACTGATGTTAGACTTACTTTCATCTAACTGTTCTATTGCTTTGTCACAGTTCCTTCCCCAGGGCAGCTCATTCAGCGAGTCCAGAGTGTGGGGAACTTCCCCACCACTCCCCGACACCCACTAAAAGCCACAGCCTACGTAAGCCCCACAGTGCAGCAGGGCCCCACCTCCACCTCCCTGTCCACCTCCATCAGTCTGCACTCCATCCCCAGCAGTGCTGCGCTGCCTCAGCCGCTCAAACCCAGCAGCAGTTTGATATCACAGCCCCTAAAAACCAGCGCCAACCAGCTAGCTGTCCCTCGCAGCTCCCTTCCTCGCCCGGCATCCTTTGTAGGAACAAGTGGACTTCCACGTGCAAGCAAAATCACCCAACCTACACGCAGGTAAAGGCAGATAATACGGAGTACAGCTTGTGTCCGTCCGACATTTCTATAATTTTTTGAAACAGGGTTTGGTGCTGCATTCTAATTTTAAGCAAAGTTGTGAGTATGCAGTTAGTTCATACTGGAAAAGTGATAAAATAATGCTATCTCCCACAATGCAGTGCACAAAAGCTTCTCAGGGCTGGAAATAAATCATGGGCTGTGGTGAAACAGTTTTGCAGTTTTTAACTGGTTAGGACATGGTGTGAAATGAATATGGATGCCTCTACATAGACAAACAGGACCATCAGCAAAGATAGGCTATGTCTATAAAGTCATACTTAATGCCTGCCACCGGGTTGGATTTGATTGGATTTCCCTTGAAATCAGTGAAACAAGGTGGTGGAAATACTACTGCTTTTGCCCACAGGGGCCACCACAATAGACAAAAGAATGAAACGTCCTTGTTGCTGCTTAACTTTAAAGCGCAAGTGGTGGAACATTTACACTGTTTATCCTGAGGGAGGTGCTGTAGTAAAAAGGTCAAACTTTGAAAGGCAAGCTAAATCAGTTTGTTTATGATACTTAAGGGGATGATGCATCTTTTAATTTGATTTGATTAATTTAGGAATTTAATTAACTTGCTTCTTTCTGTCTGCAGTTTGCTGACTCCTCCAAAGAGCCTGGCGGCCCTGAGCGCCCTGAGGGATGGCAGCTGGAAAGATGGCTGCTATTGAAACCCAAATAAACTGACGTTCAAGAGGTGCACAGGGTAACACTGCATGGGACCCAACTGATTTAAAGTTTTGCTGTCAGGAGGGCCCGGTCTTGGGCTATGACCCAAGAGAGAGTGACTGTTAACATTTCTAAAAGGCGCTGCTCTTCACTGAAGCACAGAGTAGTGACTGAGAATAGTGCGGGTCCAGCAGGCTGGATCTTTACCTTACTACCTGCTCAACCTGGCAATATTCTGATAATCAGTTGTTAAATGTGAACTGGATCTTCTTTGATATGTGTTTTTTGATTTGTCATTGTGGGTAGTTAAGGCTTTCATTCAACAGAATGAAAAATTCTCTCCCATTGGAAGCTTAGAAAAGAATAGGCCATGCTTTTGTACATGCTGTTAATGATTTTAAATGACTAATTTTGCGATTATTAATTTTTGTCAGATATGAAGTTGAACCTTGAATTTTGTTACATCCCGTGCCTGTTAAACAGTAGTGTAATTCATGTCAGTTCTATTTATTGGCTGGACCTCGCAGCACTTTTGATCAGAATTATAATTAACACATTAAAATATATTATGTGCTTTATTTCTTAAGTATGACATTACGTTAAAGTAAGTGTACACCCATTATCTTTGGGCTACTTTCTTTTCATTATCCTTTGCGTAAGAGTTGAGATTTTTAATGTCCTTTGATAAACAAAATCGCTGCAATGATATTGCACATAGAGCCCTGATGCTTTTTATGGATGACAAGAATTTAAAGAGGAGGTGAGTTTTTAAAGTGAATAAAAGCCTTTCAAAATATTTATGTATTTTCAGTGTCTGTCTTTAATATAGTTCACTTGGTGGTTTAAAGTATCAAGAAAATATGATGGGATTAACACCAGTGATCAACAGCAGATGGCATTGTTATTCCTCTGTGCACAGTGACAAGCTGAGGTTATTCTGTAGTAATGTTTGTCAGTAGTTAATGTACTTTTTGACGGAATAATTTAGTGACATATTCATTTGTTTATTTAAAAGGAACAATTGATCGCTCACCTGGTAGAGCTGGCTGCAAATGTACCATTACTGATCAAATATAATGGTGAGGATTTCACCCAAATTTTAGCACAGTGTATTTGTTTACCTTGTAGCAAGTGCGGGTTTGTTATTCTCACAAGGGACCCTGGAGCTAAAGTGACTAATGTTTAACAGACAACTATGTTGATGATGACTCTCCTTAGTAACACTGAAACCACGCTCATTTTTGGCACACTGTACCTTAAGGTAAGTGAACACAATCTCTTGCCTGCTATTTGGAATTTTGGACTGTATGTTTATGATATAACAATCACTAATATCTGTATATCTCTGTATGTTTGTTAAATCAGGTTTATGAAGACAATTAGTTAGAGTGTGAATTCTGCTAATCTTTTGGAATTTGAGATAATGCCCAACAAAGCCCAAGAGGTATGTGTATCTTGTTTTGATTTTCTCTTTCATGTATCTTTAATCAAGAAAGGTATTTTAATGGCACTGATGTTTGGTTTAGGATGCTGTTATTAACCTGAAGACACTGCAGGAGATTTCCAGCCTGCTTGGTTTTGAGTGGACAGTTCTGGCGTCTGAGCTCGGCTTCAGCAGAACTGAGATAGGGCGACTCCACACCAAATCTGCAGAGAAGAGTATCCAGGCTAGGGCTATGTTGGAAAGCTGGTACAGTGTGTGTGTGTGTGTGTGTGTGTGTGTGTGTGCATGTGTGTGTAACATGTTAGTCACTGTCAGTATGCAGACACTATATAAAAGTGTAATGACTACTTGCATAATACTTGGTGCATTCAGGGGTGTTTCCTGAATGAACATTAGATTATTAACACAAACATATCATCATGGGGTTATCTGTCCCATCATTCTGTGCATCATTCAAATGTTACCTACCTTCAAACCAACAAGAATGGTTCATTTATTCAAATAGGTCCTTAGGACTTCTCATAAAATAAGTAATAGAGATACAACTCTCCATTGCACTATATCTATCATTGACTCTGTCCTGTTCCCTTCCTCGGTCTCAAATGTTTCTCAGATGTCCATCTTTATTCACAGGTATGAGAAGTCATGGGACAAGCCCAATAAGACCAAGCTGCTGCAAGATGGACTGGAGCGAGCAGGCAGACGGGACCTGGCTGAGAGGCTGCGCTGCCTCCACTGGGGCCACCAGAAGCTGAGCCATCGGGTTGAGCTGCCGTCCGCTTTCCCCTTCCTCATCACGGTCCACAAGACCATCCACAACCAAGATGCACTACGCAGGATCAACGACCTCAACCGTAGATACACTTAAAGCTGGGTAAAAATGCACGTAGCATTACAAGCATATGATAGGGTATACTGCACACTGTAATAAATCTCAAATAAATGTCACTGAACAAATAATTGAGATGCACGGGCCATGTGTATAGTCACACTGCTTTTGTCGCTTTGCAAGTACATTTTTGGACCCATCTTGAATTCCTTTTAATCCATTAAAATGACATTTCTGCCATTAAAATCTTTAAATTACTTCTTTTGTCCAAGAGATAGTACAAAACCGAAAGATAAAAAGAAAAAAGAGAATGTTTGACATTTGTGCTTGATACATGACAGAAATCAGCTATCAAAATCTTTGTTGTTTAATTAAATTAATTGATTAATGAAAAAACACATAGAATAGATCTATATAGAATATAGAATCTGAATGAGAATAAACTTTATTGGCTAAGCATGTAGACGCATACAAGGAATTTGACTTTCTCAACATAGGAAGCACAAAGTGCCATGAACATGTATAAAGAAAGAAATATAAACATAAGACAACAATAAACTAAACAAAGATAGATACACAAACACACAGATATTACGTACAAGCAAGTAGGTATAAATAGAGATATATAGATATAATCAGCAATGGATACAATACATACAATAGTCAGTGAAAGTCAACTGTTACTGTAAACTAAGTTTGTGGCATATTTACTACTTTCCATAGGCTACAAGTAATGCAGGTGTACATGGTAGTGCAAAGAACAGTGAACAATATGGTATGACTAATGTAATACTTTACTCTTTATAGAGAGATGGTTTATGTGCATCTAACACTCAGTCTGACAATAAAGGGGTATTATTGTTGCTGTGTTATGTCAAATAACTGTAACAGATTTTGAAAATAGACTGAACTCTATTGCAGGACTTGTGTTCAGATATCACATGGATGATCTACACATGAGTAAGATGGCATGTGTCCCTGTGTTTTGAGTATTAAATACAAGTGGATTTTACTCATCCTTCAGTCACTGGTAACTGGTAACAGGCATAAAAGGTGTGGTTAGTAATTATTTATGGGACAAAAATAATAGCACATAGCATAAGCACTTTGTAATTTCAGTTTTGATAACTGCTATAAAAATAATTAGTTATTTTTGACTTGTGGCAATTAAAATGCATGTGTAATACATCCTATGCCTACAAACTGAATTGGGAATGAAACATTACATTTTGATTGAATAATTAAAGTTTAATATTGGCAGTCACACTTCACTAATGTAATCTTGAATCGATCCCGATCAACCAAACATATCGACCCATTTACACCACAAACCAATCAAAGAGCCATAACCTTTCTTAGCAAGGTTGTGTGAGCGAGCAGTGAGCAAGAGCGGAAGCCAGGCAGGATTGCCTTCAAAGTAAGAGATCACATTTTTAATTTTGTGTTTAAAAAAATAAAAAATGTAAGTAGTGAAAAGTGGCAAACGTGAAGACTTGCATAAAAACCCTTCTAAGTCTTGATAATTACATATGGACTGAAATAAAGAAAAAACCGTGCCACACTTTTACATGACCTGGGCCTTTATTTTGTCAATATCCGACGGAAACTGTAGTTTTAACCCCGGCCAAACGTCTGTTATTTTACGAGCTCTCCACCAGCTCCCGCACTCAAAACAGATGACAGCATTGACCAGAAAGACCAAAGAAAATGTACACTACTGTTACAGCGACTCTCGGGGTATAATTTGTGGACCATGCCTGATTTAAACTCGACATTATGGTAATGTGGAGACCGAGAACTGTCGGCTTTCAGACACACAGGCGACAGTAACCTATCTTTAAGCGCATATGTTGGATTTTCTTTGATAAACGGATGTGTCATTATCAGCGCACAGACCCTTCGGCGTTAGCGGGTATGTTAGCCGCATGACAGCGGGCTATTTGAAACCTTCGCCGACGTTAAAATAGCAAATTGCTCACAAGAAGTTGCAGCAATGGCTTCGGCGTTGAGTTGCTTCAGTGGTCCCGAGGTTTTGGAGGACGTGAATCACGCTCGGGGTTTGATGAAAGAGCTGAAACTGCTGTACGACTGCCGGCTGCTCGGGGACGTTACTATCGGGGTCGAGTGTGAAGAGGAGTCGCCGGAGCACAGCGGAGAGACACCCAGAGGTGACATTGACCAACTTTTCCTGTGTAGCCGCAACGTCCTCGCCGCTGCCAGCCCTTACTTCAAAAGCATGTTCACCGGGGGACTGAACGAGAGCATGCAGGAGAGAGTGGTCATCCGCGGGGTGGACGCTGAGTCCATGTCCGTCATCATCGACTACTGTTACACCGGCAGGGTGACCATCACGGAGAGCAACGTCCAGAGGCTGTACTCGGCGGCCAACATGCTTCAGCTCGAGTACATCAGGGAGGCTTGCTCCAGTTTCATGACCAGGAGGCTGGACCACTCCAACTGTGTGGGGATACTGAAGTTTGCGGACACCTATGACAATCCTGAGTTGAAGGAGAAGGCGCAAGCTTTCATAGCCAGGAACTTCAGCCAGGTGTGCAATGGAGGGGAGCTTTGTGAGCTGGATCTGATGCAGTTGCAGGAGCTGTTGTCTCTGAACACTCTGGATGTGGACTGTGAGAGGAAGGTGTGCTCAGCTGCTTTGCAGTGGATAGAGGCCAACGCTCCGCAGAAAAGGGAGGATGCACTGCAGGCACTGAAGTGTGTGCGGTGGAACTTGTTCACGGAGAAGGACAACTGTTACCTGGAGGGCCTCATGGCCAGGCCTTTAATTGAGAAGTACCTTGCATCTTTCTTCAACAGGTCTGCAGAGGACAGCTGTGGAATGGCTGCACCTCTGGATGTACCAAAACACAGAATAGGTGTAAGTGCGAAAGAAATGATTCTCTTCTTCGGCCTACCCAACGACAACATAATGTGCTGTGACCCTTACTCAGAGGACCTTTATTTCATGGCTCCTCCTCTGGAAGACCTCAGCAGTCAAGATTACAAGCGTTCCACCATGGAGTCCTTAATTGCCTGTGCCACACCTGAAAACAACTTGTTTCTAGCCTCCCACCTATCTAAACACTTCTGGCTGTACAACCCCGTGCTCAACAGCTGGCAGGAGTTGGCAGAGAGACCACTTGGGAGGATACACTCTGGGATGGGCTACCTCAACGGCCATGTGTACCTTCTGGGAGGAAGAAATCCTGTGACAGATGCCAGACTGAAGGAGGTCGAGTGCTACAGCGTCCAGAGGAACCAGTGGACGTTTGTGGCTCCTCTGCCTCATTCTTTAGGTAAAATGCAGGTGGTGGCATTAAATGACCACTTGTATGTGGTGAACAAACGGAGAATGCTTTGCTATGATCCAAAGAGGAACCGCTGGCGCCACTGCGGGTCACTCAGAAGAGACAAGCTTCACAAGGCTTGCGTGTTTCAGGACCAGATCATTTGTGTGTGTGACATCCCAGTGGTGAAAGCCTACAGCCCCACGAGGGGGGAATGGAAGAGGTTGGGGGACATTCCTATTGACAGCCGTGCTCTAAATTACCAGGTGATCCAGCACAACAACAAGCTGCTCCTTCTCACTCAGACTTTACTGCAGCACAACAAAAACAGGGTCCTCATCCATGAATACGACCCAGCCAGGGACACGTGGAAGAATGTCATGGCTGTGTATGTGTCCACCCTGGGGCCAGTGTGTGTTTCAACACGCGTGTACCCAGCATGCCTGGGCTCTGCGCACAGCTTCTCTACAGAGGAGGACGATGACAGTGGCTCCAGTGCCGACTGGGACTTTGATGGGTTGACAGACGCAGACTCTGACTCTGGCAGCTCTAGCTCTTTCTCAGATGAGAACTGGTAATGAAAATGTGTTACTGTGTCAAAGAAAGTTTAAGTTATTTGTAATTTAATTGATCCATACAGGGTTCTGTCTGCCAGAAGAGGTCAGAGATAAATATCCAGTACAGTATTAATGCAAGCCATGTACAGTAGAAGCCATCAAAATCTTCACGTCTTGCTAATCATTATTTACACAAGGAAAGTATTACGTCCTGCCAGCATGAAGGACAGTATGATGTCTGGTAGAGTATGTTTACACAATAAATGAAAGACAAATATATGATAGAAACATAACTGTCCCTCCAGGATTTCACAGGCTTTTTAGGGATTGTTTTGGCCTAAAATGCCTGATTTAACGGCAGCTTTTCTAAAAATTTCGATGCATGTTATGCTGTTTTTAGGCACTTATTTTGAAATGAAACTGTGGAAGAAAGTGAAAACTTTCTTTGGTATAATTCCTTAAAAATCTAAAGAAATTTGTTCCAGTGAGAATAAAATGGCAAAAACGTTTTGCGTGGGGGGACTGCTATGACTGGTGAGATTCACAGAAAACTACCACTGGTCAAATCTGCGGAAAAGTTGCGATGATTGGAAAAAAGGTCACACAGAATTCACGGGGATTGCATGAATTTGCATTAATTGTTGCGATTGCAACGTTGCAACTTGCTGCAGAGACCGGCAAAGGTTCCCGTATAGAGTGGGTGATCGGCCCTCATAATTGAGCACATTAATGAGGGCAGCTGAATGAAGGGTACTCCAGAGATGTAGCATTACACTTCCATAAAATTAGGCGAGAGACAGATTAACAAAGAATGGTCAAAAGTCAAAGCAGCAGCGTCTGCTATATCTTGTCTCTAAGGTCATGTTCAAAAAAACACTGAATCCTACACCTCCCATAAGGCAGTGGTGAGCCTTTGCAGGGTAGATATACAAGACCAGAGGGAAAATGTGGTACAAAACTTAGCTTATCACAGCAGAGATGTTTTAACTTGTCAAACACAGCAGGTGTTACTGATATGATAATTAATTGCCAGAACTGAGCCCTCAGTAATGTTATTTCTTCCATCTGTGCTCTCCCTGACACGACAAGTCACAATGTCTGCTGGGAAAAAGGTCTGTGAATTTAATTGCTCTGGTGCTACCAAGGCTATCAAAATTCACGTCGGAAGTAAAATGACATTTAAAGTACAAGATAAACATACTTTTGACAGGGTGGAGGGAAAAAAAGAAGAAAAAAAACTGCTGCTGTTCATCAAGCTAACACTCAGTCAAATACAAAATACAAAGACACCCATTCCTGCTCTTGACTATACTGCTAATATAGCAGGATATCTTTTGTGTGTAACAACTCAGTTAACCACATTTTCTAATTTCCTAAAGGGGGCATAACAAAAACTGTTGGGAACCACTGCCATAATGCAACTTAATTGCTTTTTGTTTGTCAGACGCTTCCTGCTTGGTTAACACCCTCAGTCTTCGCACTCAGCCCAGGCTGAGTAGCAATCTTTGACGTGTAAAGTGGGTTGAAGGCCCCTTTAATGCTCGTGTTGTGTTAAATAAAGACAAGTTTGTGACAGAAATATTTGCTAATAACATTTTTATTTAGCTAATTAAATGAGTACACCTGCCTCAGATTGGTGTAAAATCATGACTGTGACTTTTGGGACATCAGGCAGCTCAAGTGCCTCATGTTTATGACAAACAACTGGTCATTTACAGGGCTTTAACATTTGCTGTCCTTTTTATGTTGTTAAGACGTCACACGCAGCCAGTGTGAAATACTACAGTATGAAATGTAGAAGCCAATGCACTGTACGCACACTCAGGTTCAGGCTTCAGCCTGTATGCCATGATTGACTTATTTTTTTTTTTTTTTTTGATGTAGTAAAATGAGGTGGTTTTGGTGACAAATGATACATTTTATGAAATTTCTTTTATTGAATGTGTGACAAAGGGTGTGTGATTTTTCTTTTGTAATTTAAAATTTATGTTGCAGTCAGGAATCCAAATTCACAAAGTGTTTTAAGTTTTGTTCGGTCCTGATGAATTGCTTTAGTTGAAGGATTTTATCTGCATGTACTAAAACTGTTTGGAAGTTAAGCTAAAAAAAAAAAAACGTAATCAGACATCCCCATACATTCAGTTGCCAGTTTATTAGCTTTGTTGAAACACATAAGTGTTTCTAATCAGTTGTACACAAAATATTAGTTAATATACGATGCAATACCACAAACTACAGCCTCCAAAACAACCATTACGTTGGAATAACCCCTCTTTAAAACAAACAGTGAACATTAAAACCTAAATTTATTACATTAGTTTTAGCTAATAAACTGGTAAAGGAATGTATTTATCACTGGTGTCTCTGTATGATGGATACATTATTGTGTGTGTGTGTGTGTGTGTGTGTGTGTGTGTGTGTGTGTGTGTGTGTGTGTGAAGGGGAAGGGGAAGGGGTGATTTGCTCTGGTAACACATGGTCTGGATTGTGAAGTTCTTTTGTTGTATGTGTCAAATAAACAATGTCTGATGTCTGAGGATTTTTGTTGTTTGATTTCAATAAATTAAATCAACAACTTGGTGCACATGAGGCACACAATACAAGATTCAGCTTAACGTTTTCAGATTTGATTAGAGGAGGATGGAACTGTCTTTCTTTTCTGAATATTCCCCAAATTTTTTTTTTAAAAGCCTCATATTTGATGTGCATTCATTTCCATTGTTGTATATTCTGTATAAACATGTCTGAATAATGACGTCATGTTAATGGTCAGACAAGAAAATAAAACATTAATTCACAATAAAAAAACAATTGATGAAATGAAAGATAAGTAAGTATTGAAATAAATAATTAAGAAAAACATAAGATGGGCATATTAACATTCTGTATTAAAGAAAAGAGAAACAAAAATATGTGTTTGCAAACGAAGACTTTCCCCACATAATAGAAAAATTATCATATTCTGGAAAAGTGATATCATTGATATCGTCTCAACTATGAAACCGCGACATCTACTGGTGTTTCCTCTTCTCGCGATGTTTCCGCGCCGTCCACATCCAGACCGCGAGAAGATGAGCGATGGCAATAGAAAACAGACCTGGGGAGGAATTTCACACCGTTTTCAGTCAAAATGACTCCTTAGAGCTCTCTGCGAACCACGACTATGAGTCCGCACAGGCTCGGATTTTCAAGCTGATCGTCATTGGAGATTCAAATGTGGGAAAGACGTGTTTGACCTACCGGTTCTGCGGGGGCACTTTCCTGAAAAACCCGGAGGCAACGATCGGGGTCGATTTCAGAGAGAGGACGCTGGTGCTCGATGGCGAGAATATCAAGGTGAGAGGACCCTACAAACACACACACACACACACACACACACACACACACACCTGCTACATCTCAATGTCCTGCAAGATTAACACAGCCATCTGCCTGAGGTACGGCTCATGTGGGGACACAGGGGAGAGACTGACCTGGAGCCTGTTTTCAGACAGTCAAAGGCTGTGGAGAGTGATAGCACCGCTACAAAACATAGGCCTACCTCTTTTAAATGACCAGCTGGAGGGCAACATCCGCCAATAAAACAAACTATAAAGTATCTCTTTATAGTAGACATTATAAGCCTAGAAGGGTATACACCAAAGGTCTATATCTCTGTTGTCTTTTAAGGCCCTGAAACTGGAGCAGCTAAATGGAATTCAGCCATTATTCATTAAAGAATTTGCACCTGTGTTTACTGTGACACTGTGATCTCTGTGGAAAAAGCCCCATCTGTCTGTCTCTCTTCACATCTCCACGTTCAGTGACACAAACATTTGATTGGTCTACACCAACCCTCTTGTCACACACTATGAGCCAGGTCATAGTCTGTACCTAAGTCAACAAATCCCATGAAAAGACTCAAATAAACAATGAATTGATGCTGTTAACAGGTATTATCTGCGTATAGCTCATTCCTCTGTGCTATAGGCAGTCGTTGTTGTAACACATCCGGAACGTGATCAATTATTTAAGATTTATATCTTAAGTAGGTACAAATGCACTTGGAGTTGACGGGGTAAGGAAGGCAGAAAGTAGTGAAAGATGGACTAACACATTGTTGACATTAGTCTTTACTTGGGATTGGTTGACAATAAGAAAAATACAGAATTACACTTCACAACATTTTAATATTTTAATATTGTTTAGTCAGCAATACCAATATCAATCTCTGTTCCTGCTGTGCCAGTTGCAGATCTGGGACACGGCAGGTCAGGAGCGTTTCAGAAAGAGCATGGTGGAGCACTACTACCGCAGCGTCCATGCTGTCATCTTCGTGTATGACGTGACCAGCCTCTCCTCCTTCGAGAGCATCCCCGAGTGGATTGAGGAGTGCAGCCGACACTCTGTGGGGCCCATGGTGCCCCGCATCATGGTGGGCAACAAGTGTGACCTGAGGGACCGCCGGGAGGTCCCCACCTCAGCTGCCCAGTGCCTTGCCGACAGCTACAACTTCCCGCTGTTTGAGACTTCGGCCAAGGACCCTGCCGAGAAGGAACACGTTGACGCTATCTTTCTGACTTTGGCTTACAGACTGAAGAGCCACAAACCCATGAGACTGAAGCAGCTGAGCGAGAGCAGCGTCAGGCAGCTGTGGCAGCAGGGAGAGCAGGAGGCGGCAACGTGTCAATGCTGAGGTCCCCCTCCATCCTGCATGGATGGAGCCATTAGGAAACAATGCTGGTGCTGAGGAAAGCAGTGTTTCTTCCCAACTCTGAGACTGAATTCATAAAGGCTTCTTACGTGATGAGATAGAAAAGGAAGAAACGTCCCATGATTTTTACCTGTTTCCCTGCCTGATGTAAGGCACAGTTAGTGATAGTATGGACCTATACGTTTGCACAAAATCAAATCAACATTTCATCGAAATGCATGAATGGATATGGAGGTATGCCAAACATTTGTAGCTCAAACTGCACATAAAATCACTTTAAGTGGAAAAAAAACAAAGCATTGCTGACTGCACTTTAAGACAAATTATATGCAATCAGCTATCTAGTAGCACTACAGCCTATTTACAGTATTCCATGCAGACAGTTAATTAAGGGGCAAAATGGATTTCAGTGTAGGTAAAGGGACCAATAAGGTAAATTGAAACTGTGAACATAACCGTGCAATCATTTTCTTTAAGAAATGTCGTAAAGTGATATTTTGGTTTAAACATTTACATGCAGTGTGAGTTTTGGTGCTGTTGCTGAATGTGTATTTCTCAGATATAAATACAAACTTAAGCTTTGTGTCGAATCTTTCAATTACACAGTTCGATGGAGTGAGCTCACTAATCATAAAATGTAGCTGTCTTTTGGGCAAAATGCAAATCCACATAATTCACTTGAAATGCATGAGTGAATACATGCTCAGCAGTCTCTGACAATTGTTACGCTGGAAGGTATTGATCTTATGAGGTAAAATCATGACTGACCTTTTGTTGCATGTGTACAGTTTCCAACAGTATGGAGATTTAAATGACAATATTAAGCTGCAAATCAAGTAAATAAAAGTGGTTTTATCAGTATAATTTAGATTTTTGAGTTTTCTGATTTCTTTGATATGATGAACTAGGCACAGATCACAATGTACTTAAAAATACTTACACATACACATAATCAAGGATGACATTTAATTTTAGTTTATTTTAATGTATTGCTTATCATATTTTGTGGTAAACACTAACTTAATGCTTCATTCAGCCAACATAGATGGGAGTGTTCAGAAAAACATGGAAATTAATAAACATCTACAATTTTATTACAACCAGGTAAACTCTATTTTCTGATGAAGATCATGTGATATGATTGAAAGCTCCAGAAAAGCTCTTAAAGGCCAGGACTCACCTGAAAATGTTATATTTTTTAACCTCAATGGAACCTAACCTGGTTAAATAAAGGTTAAAATAAAATAAATAAACAAGGAACCTTGTGATAAGCTTCATCCTAGTTTGTAATGTTTGACTCGATTTTGGCGACAACCAGCGGCCAGCGTTGGTATAGCTATAGCTCTGGTGACACGTTTACTTAAATCCTGTAAAATACCAAATGTAGTCCAAAGTCTGTGTCGCCAACCGAATTGCATTATCAATTCCGAAACGAGGTCAAATCTTTCTACTACATCAATAAAACACATTTGATAACGAGACTTTGCTGGAGTAATGTCAGCTCCCCCAACAGCTTTGTTGGGTGTTGACCACGATCGACGATCACGTAGCAAGGTTGTCATATTTACCAGCTTGCTTGTGAAGTCAGTGAACGCAGCATAGTGAACGGGCCGTCTGTATTCCTCACACGGCGTCTCTCTGCGGCCATGGTAACACTGGCCTCAATACAGGACCTCTGATTCAAACAAAACAGCGCAAACAAGTGCTTTTCATGCAGGTATGAGAATTATTTTCACGTTTTATATGCAGTTATATTAATATAGTTTAGGTTCTCGGTCGGTTGTTGTTGTCTACATGCATATTTAACACACGCTGGGAGGATTAGGTCGCGTTTACGTTATTTATTGCCCCACGATTCGTTTTGTTTTCTGTCTGTGGCCTAGCAGGAAGCTAGCAAAGCTAATGTCGGCAAGATGACAGGGAAGCTAATTTAAATAGTAGCCTGATTTAACCGCCAGGTGAACTGTCTGCGATTAACATTTGAAAATCGCAGTCCCTGGCATTAGCTAGCATAACCACCATGCTGTCCGGGTGTAGCTGTTCTGTTAGGTATTAACTGACTTGCATAGAGCTGCACCGACCTGTAATAAGTAGTTAGGATTTACAATGAGGACACTGGACTTGTTGAATAAAATGTGGTTTTGAGCTACAGCTAGTTATAGTTTAATACGTTAGCCAGCTCGTTGTTTCACTACTCAGAGTTACTTGTGTCTCCCCCTCCCTCCCTCCCTCCCTCACCATTCAGCTCTTATTCAGCATGAATTTGGCAGAGATATGTGACAACGCCAAGAAGGGCCGGGAGTATGCTTTGTTGGGGAACTACGACTCCTCCATTGTGTACTACCAGGGTGTCATTCAGCAGATCCACAAGCACTGCCAGTCCCTCAGAGACCCTGCGCTCAAAGTCAAATGGCAACAGGTGAGTACCCCAAGCCCCTACCCTTACCTCCAGTTATTAAACCGTCATTACAGAAGAGCATGCGCAGTGACTGTGCTTCACTACTGCAAATATTTGAGAACCACACTGGATCCTTTGATAGCAACACTGGTGTTGTTGTTAAAAAGAAAAAAACAATAACAATGATAGTCCTTCTTTAAAAAGCTTGTGGGTTTCAGTGTTGACATCTCTGTTGCCCTTGTTCTACACTTCCATTATCAGCTGCTTTGATCTGTTGGTTTGGTAATCTCTGTCAACAAACATTGTGAACGCATGTCGTAATGTCACTGATGTAAGTCTAAATTATCTTTCCCAAAGCAGACAGTCAGTTTACTCCCTGTACCATTTACTGGCTTTAATTTGCTCCTGATGTTCTGTGATGCAATGCTGATACAATACTCTCTTTCTGTATGTGACCAGGTTAGGCAGGAACTAACAGAGGAGTATGAGCAAGTGAAAGGCATCATGGGAACGCTCGAGAGCTTTAAGTCGGAGAAACCAATTGACATCCTTGCCCCTCAGTCCGAGGAGAGACCTGAGGATCCAGCAGTTTGGCCCCCTCCCACCCCTGCAGAACACAGGTGTGTGTGAGTCCACCACTGCACCACTTGTTTCTACTTTTCCTGCTATAAGTTGAAACATGTAGCTCAAGTTTTTCATGAGTGTGATAGCAACAACAACATTTGCCTGAGGTGTTAGTGTAAAACACAAGGTCTGAGCCACACTGATCCTATATTTTATGTGACATTTATATAAATAAAGGTTGGCTATATAGAAGATTAGGACCTCAACATTTAATTATCACAGACATTTGAAGCCCTTTGATTGAGGATGATTTCAATCAGTCTCAAAGAATGAATTCTATATGATAATACTCACTGATTGCTGAATAAATATGTACATACTGCTGTTTAGTTGTCAGTTCTTATGTCATTCTAAGTTGAATGAAATAACTGGGAACAAGACTGCAGTGTGTGGGTGTTTTTTTTCCCATTGTGGTTTCTCTATTTCACCTGCTCATGGGCCAAATGCCTCTATAAGGAAGCACTTTGAAGTACAAAGAGACATATTTTGCATAATCCGTTTCATCTCACTAGCACAATGTGACTCCCTGTGCTGGATTTTTTTTTACTCTCTGGTCATTAAAGGGGACATATCAAACTCCACAGAGAACAAGCAGAGCTGGTTTAAAGTTAATGCCACTCTGTGGGAACATTGACACACTATGTAATGTTAGTGCCACGATTTCCCCTATTGGATTTTATCTTTGATGTTTCTGACTGCAGGTGTGTCCGACTATTACCTGTGTCTGTAGTTTTATTCCTCTGTGTGTGTGTGTGTGTGTGTGTGTGTGTGTGTGTGTGTGTGTGTGTGTGTGTGTGTGTGTGTGTAGGAATCCTATCGCAGTGAAGCGCCCCAGCAGTGCCGTGAAGCAGCAGAGGAAGGACTCCCCCGGTCTGCAGCACCGAGGGGCAGGGCCAGGAGGCCGCGGTCAGGCCAACCCTAAACCAGACCGGCCAGGATTCAGAGACGCCCGAGGCACAAAGGCCAAAGAGGATAAGGTCAGACTACAGCGGTTGATTGCTGGTTGACAGGACTGATCTTAAATCTTAAACCTGTTCCTGAAAAACACCTGTTTTTCCTTTTATTTATCTTTTTTTCCTTTTGTTTTTCTCCATCAGGGAAAGAAAGGAGCTGGGGACACACCAGGGGACGTAGAGCATAAGAAGTTTGATGGCACAGGACACGACAGCGACCTGGTGGACTCACTGGAGAGAGACATTGTGTCCCGTAACCCTAACGTACACTGGTATGGTAGCATACACAGACTCCTACATTCTCCTTTTACATGTTTTTCTTAGCACTGCTGACTCAGTTCTCTGGTTGAACTGCAGGGATGACATTGCTGATCTGGAAGATGCTAAGAAACTTCTGAGAGAAGCAGTGGTTTTGCCCATGTGGATGCCAGACTTTTTTAAGGGCATTCGTCGCCCCTGGAAGGTACACACACACACGCACATATAAACATGCACACTTACACACTCTGAGCTTTACGTATTTTTTGACTGACTGAGTAATCACAGAGACCAAAAGAAATAAAAAAGGAGAATAAGGGGCGCCCGGTTAGCTCAGTGGGTAGAGCTGGCGACCCATGTACCTTGCTGCAGCGGCCCAGGTTTCGAATCCGACCTGCGGCCCTTTGCTGCGTGTCATCCCCTCTCTCGCCCTCTGCCCCCCTTTCCTGTCCGTCTTCAGCTGTCCTATCAAATAAAGGCAATAAAAGCCATTAAAAAAAAAAAAAAAAAAGGAGAATCTGTCATGTGTGAACTAGCTAATACGCTACGCTAAGTTTTTTATCTGTTACCTCATTAATAATTCGACAATCATTTTATCAATCACTTTCTACTGTGATGTTTCTTTACTAAGGCGAGGACGGGAACATTACCCAGAAATATGGTCATAAATAATCAAAACATTATTCCAGTGGTAATTCCCGGTTAATCCAGCATAAAATCACAGTTGTGCCCTCGTCTAATCCAGGTGACAGCAACTGGACAGCAGAATACCAAGTGTCATTATAAATGTCTTCTAACATGAATCTCTCCCAGTTTTTGACTGTTCTGCTGTGACATTAAATAATTAACAAAATGTTTAGATCTATCTTCACTCTATGTTGTAACTTAAATGTATGGTGCAACCTGTAATAGCACATAAAGCAGCGTTTGAACCTGGTACAACATCCTGCGGTTTTCTTTTTTTTTTTTGCTCAAATTTGAACACAACTTGCTTACATATGTTTGCATCCCTAACATCTTTTGTTATTGGCGCCTGTGCTGTCATGCTGCCTCTCAGCATCTACATGACTCTGCTGAATGACCAGTTAGGGAGTTTTCTTCTGTGCTGGCCTCTGTTGAGCTTCATCATGTGAGGCCTCTCCCCCTCAGGCCCGCCATGTGAGGGTCAGTACGTTATCGGTTTGTTCAGCAGCACAGTGCCTTTCATTTGTCTGATATGCATGCATAATTGAACTCTTTCCTCAGTTAGGGCGCAGTGAAATGAAGGATTAATACATTAGTTGTAGAATAAAACACATTTTAAGTTTATGACCGTTTTATCGGCACACATGTAGGCTGGAGGTGTTTGTTTCATTACAGGTGACATTTAGTATAGATGTCTGTGCAGGTCTGTTTTGTTGGTCCTCCCCTGCAGGGTTTCTGACTATTACTGCACACTTACTGCAGGTGAGCCATCCCACTCCTTCCTGCTCCTGCTGAGAGTCTGATCAGTCCTGGCTGCATCAGTGTTTTATATTGAAAATCTATCCAGCCCATCCTGCAGGGAATATATCACACATTAGCTTGTATTGGATTCTGTCGCAGTAGGGACTACAATGGCATAAAATGTTATCGGTTGTGTCACTGGTGCTTTTGTGATTTATGCAGTCTCCATAGCAACAGACAGACACAAACCAGATGCAGAAATTTCAGATATCAGAGCGGAAGTGATAGTCCTGATGTTTACAGAAGAGATTTGCATCTGGGATGGCAATTTCGTTTAATATTATTGACAATTATACAAAATGTGTGTATCCGATTACACCAAGGCGAGAAAGGGATAGTGACAAAGTAAACTGAAACTTTATTTGATTGCGGGGGGCTTACAATTTAGTGGAAGACAATTCATTTACATGCATGGCTAAGCCCAATAATAACAGCCTCTTGTATTTCTTGTTTCAAATTTCATCCTCTACTCATCCAGTGATGATGATGCTCAACACCAGCATTATTATTGTCTACAACGGTTGTGTTGAGCCCACCACGATCTCGTTTCATCCCTCTAATTAAGTGAAGCTCTGACATTTACGTTAAAGACATTGACTTAACAGCTGCAAATCAGTGTGGTTATTGGAGTTAGCTCTCTGTCAAGTCTCTGTGACTCAGAGCTTGAACAACAAACATGATTACTTTCTTTGCAGCACACTCAGGCAGAATATTTCAGTGTCTGCTCCTAGTTTTCAGGAACACTGACGTATTAAAGGGTAATTTTGTTATTTTTCAACCTGGATCCTATTTTCTCATGTTTTTGTGTCTAAGTGACTGATGGGACAACAATTTGTATTCAAAGGTACCCTTTAAGGACTACTACTGATCCCAGCATGAGGGACATGATCAGTCGGACACTAATTGAACAAGAGATCAGCAATAAAGCTTGACAGTACCTGGTCAAATCATGTGAAATCATCAGGTTTTATCTACCAAAACAGATGGACCAGGTGCCTTATTTTATATGCAAGGCACTGTATGTATTAGAAATGTATGAAATTAGTATTATAAAAAGAAATAGGAGAAAAATACCTAACTGGTAAGCCTGATCAGATGTGTAGTTTGTCAGTCAGGGAGCGGATGCGGTGCTCTCGGCACTCTCTTTTAGTTGCCTTCTCCTGTTTATCAGTCTTGTGGATCTAAATGCTGTGCTTCCTTGCTCCTTTGTCTCTAGTGGATCTGAATGGTGTACAGAGTTTGCAGCAATTTATTCCTAAAAATAAACATTCATTGCTGTACACATTTTGCATTCATATTTAATGTATTGGAAAGCTGACATACGGGGGTTTTAATGCTCAGGATTACCAGAAAATCACTCTTGTCCAGCATTGTGAAAAGACTCGGAGAAATAGTTGTTTGCTTTTCCAACAATCATCTTCATATGTTTGGCCTTGTTCCAGACCTCTGAATAACTCCCCACATCTCCAAGTTTATTCAGCAATTCAAATAAAATTAATAAATGAGTGAGTGAATGAGTAAAGAAAGAAAACAAAATGACAATTCAGTCTGATTGGATTGCTCTGGAATCAGCTGAAGTTAGTCAAATATTAAGCATTTCTTATAACATTATATAATATGCTTAGAATAATATTTTATGTCTTGTGCACAAAATGTGTCAATTCTCTGTGAATGTTTGCTGCAGGCTTTAAGTTTCCACAAGGTGAGCACAGAGAAACTTTCTCCCTGCAGCACATGAATGTGTAAACAAATTCTGAACATTGTGTATTCAGGAGACGCATTTTTGACTGAAGACGGACTTTAACAAATGCATTCAGTCAAGATAAGTTGTCAAAATGAAAGAAGGAAGGTAGTGGATGGATGATCAGTTCTTGTCAGATAACATCTCTGTAGCCAAGTAGCCAACACTGTGCAGACTGGCCTAGTTGATGAGAACCACTGGCTTATAGTAAGAAGCCGGTTGTGAAACTACTGTAGCTGTACATGTGTTTATGTGTTTTACATTTTAACAGTGCGTAATTTCTTGTTTTAGGGTGTGTTAATGGTTGGCCCTCCTGGAACAGGAAAGACCATGTTGGCCAAAGCGGTGGCCACAGAATGCGGGACTACTTTCTTCAACGTGTCCTCCTCCACCCTCACCTCCAAATACAGGGGCGAGTCAGAAAAACTTGTTCGCCTGTTGTTCGAAATGGTAAGTTATATGTACGTGTATGTGGCCCAGCAAAACCACACAATATCAAACCGATGATGTAAATAATTTGTTTCATGGCAGAGGGAAAGTATCTTAAACAATTAGTTTTTCTCTTAGGCCCGCTTTTATGCACCGACGACCATCTTCATAGACGAGATCGACTCCATCTGTGGCAGAAGAGGAACGTCTGATGAGCATGAAGCCAGCCGCAGGGTCAAATCAGAACTTCTGGTTCAGATGGATGGTGAGTGGAATGAAGAAATGGGGAGGTGAAGCAAAGAAAGGAGTTGTTTGAGAATTTCTCTCTTGAATTAACTCAAGAAAGAAATTTAAAACTAACGTTTGGGATGAGTTTGTAGGGCTGTAGAAAGCAGAGCATAAAACAAAACAAATTCTATATCCTCGATAGATTCCACCATCACATGTTGTATGAGTGGTACAGTAATACTCATTTTGTAGCTAAATTGGGGTTTTGTGTGTGTTTTGTGACCAGGCGTGGGCGGAGCTATGGACAATGACGATCCCTCTAAGATGGTGATGGTCCTCGCTGCCACCAACTTCCCCTGGGACATCGATGAGGCATTGCGCCGACGGCTGGAGAAGCGGATCTACATCGCCCTGCCCACAGGTAACCTCATCACTCGCAGATTGACCGCACAACAACCTGGAGCAATGGCCACTGCAGTGGTCTAACAGAGCCTGCACTCAACAACCCTTGTATGTGATTAATGATGTGTGTGTGTGTGTGTGTGTGTGTGTGTGTGTAGCTGTTGGTCGTGTAGAGCTTTTAAAGATCAACCTGAGGGAGGTGGAGCTGGCTGGTGACGTGAACCTGGACCTCATCGCTGACAAGATTGAGGGATACTCTGGAGCAGACATCACCAACGTTTGCAGGTGTGTACAAAATTACACAATGGAGGACACAAAAACATTAGCATATCAGATACATGGAAAAGTAACTCTAAATGCTAGCAGGTATTCATTGCTTGAATAGGTTTTGACTTAAATTCTAAAAATATTTATATCACCACCCAAAAATAATGTAGTAGATGACAATGACAAACATATATATATATAAAATAGTCTAACTCACCTCCTTATTTATTTATTAAAATAGGGCTCATAATGACAGATTTAGGCTGTGTAGAATGATTCCAGCACACCATGACAAGGGTCAGAGATATAGAGAGGCAGAGAAGTGACTCAGCCCTCTTGACTCGTGTGAACTTTACTCTTGAGATCAGGGGGAACCTGGCAAAACATATAAGTGCATGTTTGCCTTTTCTCTAACTCGTCAGCTAATGATTGTCCTCCAAATGATTCATATCTCAGCATGAGTATGTATGGTTCCAGAGCAACTTTCATGTTTCTGATCAGACTGCTATACCTTAAGTGGCAGTAATGAAGGCACAGAAATCGAATTTTGCTAACATTACAGTTGATTTTGTAAATCGTATATGGAAATACCACAGCCTAGAATACAGTATATGTGCAATATAAAAAGATGAAATGTGACTATAGAGGTTATACAGGCTGACAGACTTACTCATTTACTCATATTTGCTACATTTTAGAGGCAAATATTGCACTCACTCAACTACGTTTATTTGACAGCTTTAGTAAGTTATTTCAGATTTTTAATACAAAATATAATCAACTAATCATGCATGTATTACTATAGATTAGGCTACCAGGCAGTATAAAAAATCAGACCTTTACCAGCTGCAACATTAGTGATTAGCTTACACATTAATGCATCAATAATAATAAAATTCAGAATAATATAGTAAATTAAACTGTCCACATTTACCCATTTAAGGACTGTGTGCAGTAGAGTGAGTGCTTGCTGATCCTGCTTAGAATGAGTAGCCGTCGTCTCACTCACATAGGGAATCATGTCGATTTGCCAGACACGTTCCACATCAACCAATAACTGGCGAGTGTGCTATATGAACAACTTAATAGAATTGAATCATTGATCATCCTTCTGACACTTAGTAATGATCATTGAGATATCACCGCCGATGATGGTTTTCAGGTACATGTGATGAATTAATGGTGCGGGTGCTATAAATAGCCACAGCTGGGCGTAATGGTCATATGTAATGACAGCTGCTCTGGTGCTGATGGGAAACCTCTGACGCAACACAGTTGGTGAAACCACACTTCATCTTTGCTGTTATTCTCCCTGACAGGTCTAATGAGTGGAGCAGGCAGAGGTGTCGATATTCAAACAGATGGATGTTTAAGCGCATTTCTACATCCATTTATGGCTAACTGGGAGTGCAAATGGGACATGTGCACGTATGCTCAGTTCCACAGTGATTGAGATTCTTAAAACAGAACCAGGCATACACCCAGCTTCATACATCTGATGAAACTCATAGCATTACTATATTTAGTCCCCACAGATTCAGACAAAAAGAGGCTTGGATGGGAGACATCATCGTATTACACAAACACTTATTTCAGTGTAAATGCCAATGAAAACGTTCAATTGTCTATTACTAATCAGCTCTTAATCTGTATATATGTACATTGATTTTATCATTACACTTGCAAAATTGCAGACATGGCTATTAAATCAATCAGAAAATGATCAACTCGGTTATACACATACAGAGTATAATTACACACAAAATGATTATTTGATTAGAATAAATAAATTGAAATTGTGAAGTGATGATTACTGATGTAGCTTCCTCATTACTGTGTGAAACACACCTACGTGTAAACAGATAACACCAGTGATTATTTTAAAGTATGCATTGATGATTGGAATATGTTAATATGCTGAACCGCAGTTAATAGTTGCTTCAGTTGAACACTTCTCCTTACCATCCTGTACTTATCCTTGTAGTCCTTTCTGCCATAGCTACGCTGGGTATGGCAGCTATTTTCTGTTCAAGTTTTCTCTGCTCATCTCTGGCTTACATTGTTTCGTTGACCTTGGATGTGTATGTCAGTATCTTCCACACGCAATCTGTAGCCTGAAGGATTTGAGCCAGTTGGTTAGTAATCACAGCCGAGACTGAGAAGAAGAAGCCAAGAAGTTTTTACAGGAGTAAAACTCTTCAAGGATGCAAGCCAAAATAGTAGAAATACTAACACCCCTGCTCCCCTCTCTGCTCCTGTCTTTGCATGTACATCAGAGACGCGTCCATGATGGCGATGCGGCGTCGAATCCAAGGCCTTAGCCCCGAGGAGATCCGAGCTTTGTCCAAAGACGAGCTGCAGATGCCTGTGACCATGGAGGACTTCACACTCACACTCAAGAAGATCTCCAAGTCCGTCTCTGCTGCTGACCTGGAAAAATACGAAGCCTGGATGGCTGAGTTCGGGTCAGTTTAGAGAACATTTAAACCCAGAGGGACCAGAACCTTGAAAGGAGGACCAGCAGCTTTGAAAATGATGAAAGCCTTGAAGAGTAGGTGACTCTCTGTGTGTGTGTGTGTGTGTGTGTGTGTGTGTGTGTGTGTGTGTGTGTGTGTGTGTGTGTGTGTGTGTGTGTGTGTGTGTGTGTGTGTGTGTGTGTGTGTGTGTGTGTGTGTGTGTGTGTGTCACAGAGCTGAGTGAACTCTAGTATGTGAACCAGGGAGCACATCGGGGATCAGGATTATACCGGGGCTCAAGTTCACATCAGAAGACTGGTGCCTTTTGAGAGAGCATGATGACAACTTTCAGTGGCTTCACTCCTGCCCTTTCACAATATTCTCCCCTCGTCGTTGCTTCGACACAATTGTCCGTGTAGAGACTATCAATCATCCGGCTGCTGACTGATTTAAGAGACCTGAGGAAGACTGGGGTGATTCTCTCTCACACAGGGAACTTTTAATGTACAAAGTAGCCTAATACACACAGGTAGACCAGGGAATGCACTCTAGTTTTACTTGTATATTAGGCCTCTTGCAAGAACATTTTATATATGATTATCCTAATGTTCTCTTACCTTTTTTGTGTTCCAAGTCAGATTTGCCGAACTCTGTTAAACGTGCAAACATTTGCTTGTTTCAACCTGATGATGTCCAACTGTTTCTATTAGGTAAGTGTTTGTGAGGTTTCATCGTTTGGATAACCAACACCTCTGAGTCCCTGAGTTTTGGTTCATTTTTTTGGCAAATTTCATTCAAAAAAATGGAAAAAACAAACAGAGGAGTTTCACCTAGATCCTGAGGCAGCTGTCTGGGTTAGAGACTTTTCTGTACAAATACTGAATTGTTGAGGTTGCCCTTCCGAAATATGCCAGTATAACCTTCAAAAAAACATTGTCGAACCTCTCAGTAAATTGGCCTTGATGATGGTGATATGATGAACACAATATTAGTTTAGCATAAAATTTATTTCTGTAACATAGTTTAACTGCAGATTTATTCAGATTAAGGCATTATAATGCAGACTTTCTGCACACAACTTTAGATAAATTGGAGAGAATCTTGTTAGTACAAGAACATTGTTTTCTTAGATGACTTGTACTTTCCTCTTAAAAACAAATCTGTTAGTACTTGTGATTCTTGCAAGAGGCCCAATGTCTTAAAGAACTGTACGTTTGAGCACTTTTTATGCATCTCCTTCAGGATCCCATGTACTTACTACTGACTGAACACACTTGAAGAACCAGAATGTCTGTGCTGTGTACTGACTGATTATGTGTTTGTGTTGTTTTGTTGGTTTTTAAATATTTGTTCTCTTGAGACAAACCAATGTAGTCAAACTAAATGAACATGGCCACTGGACCCATGGATTGTTTATTAAAGGATACTGTACATTCTCTCCTAAAACCTCGCCTACTGAATGGTTCCTATATTTTGTGATGTCTGTTAAATTGAACAACTTAACTGAGTCAGGTTATGTCTCGCATTCAAGGAGCGTAAGTAGATTGCAGACGGTCGGCCCACCTGGAATTCATCTGACTCTTCAGTATTCAGATCATACATATGTCCTCCTTTAGGTGGAGACAGACGGCGGGGTGAGAAGTAATATGAATGCATTGTGAAATAAAAGACTCAATTCATCACTTTAACTTTAATCCATTAATGTGTTTAGGGCATCCTACTTAGGGGAATTAATAAACCAAAGGCTCCACAAGTGTGTGCCACAAGATCCCTTTGATATTTGGTAATTACATCACAATTCCTGTACTATAAAATATTTTGTTAATCACATTTCACATTCAGTCACAAATAAATTGTTCCATGAAGCTGAGGATATTGAAATATTTAGTATGGAAGTTAATTCCTTTGACCAAAAAAACCCCAACTCAAGTTCTACTTACTGGTTTTAGGTGACATAGAGACATTAGAGCTACAAATTAATTCAGTTAACTTTAACCCAACATGAACAAGAAATCCTAAATCCTATGACGATATCATAACGCTGACTGAGCCTGCATGTTAACAAATCCATTTCCATGACAACTGAGCAAACTCCATAAAGACTAGCTGTGTGATATAATTAAAAGCTCAGGAAAAATCTAGTTACAGTGCATTGATACATTAAAGGTCCAGTGTGTAACATTTATGAGGATCTTTTGTCAGATATGGAATATAGGGTGTGTTTCCATTAGTGTATACTCATCTGAAAATAAAAAAAAGAAATTGTGTTTTTGTTACCTAATAATTAGATGTTTTTATCTACAGAGGGAGGAGGTCCTCTTCTATGGAGGCTGCCATGTTGAACCACCATGATTCTACAGTAGCCAAAAACAGACAAACAAAGCACTGGCTGTAGATGCGTCCTTTTACTTTTTTCACAAGTTTCATTGCCACTGTCTGAGTGGTATTTACTTGATTTCAATCTGCAACTTCACCACTGGATGCCTCTAAATCCTACACACTGGTCCTTTAAACCTGTGAGGTGAGCTGCATGACATTAAAATACAGGATACCCGCAAATAAGCAGATTATTGACAGAATGATCAGTATTTCGCCACAAAGTAATTTAGAGACTCACTTTAGATGCCAAATTGCAGCTTTCTATCGACCGTTTTCATGTTGGTGAACGGCTGAACAGCTCTGTTAGCGTATGTGCACACCACACGGCTCCACTGAAAAGCATAACGACTAAACTCCTATTACCTCCACATAATGAGACCTGTAGGAGCCGTGTAGCAGAGACATTTAGAAGTGAAACAGCACAGTACAATGTGTAGATTTGTCATCACGCATCATGTATGAACATCAGCCTGTTATACATTGTGCCCCATTTACTTCTCTTGCCTGTCAGATGCACTCAGTAATATGTTGCGTCCAACACACTCTTTTTAGGTCAACAGATGTGCGTTTGAGGTTTGAAATGTCTTTGCCAGCATATTACTCACAGGACAAGTTGTAAGACCAAATGTACAGAGAATTCTGCTGTGCTTCTAGTGTTCAAATGATTAACCCCTCTCGACTGTCCTGTGAGGAGTCTCCTCCCCTTATGAAGGCTCCAGAGGGCCTCAAGATGGTGGAGAAGGAGCCCAACAGCTGAGAAAGGTGGATGCTGTGTTTGAGTCTGAGTTGTGGTGATTTTAATAAGTGATAAATGTGTGTTTTTTAATATGTACCTACAGTGGACAGAGACTTAACCTCCAGGGCCAGAGAGTCCTTTATATTAGCCCTGCTTAGGTTGGTCAATGTATATTGATTACCAGTAGCTGCAGTACATATGGCCTACATGAGCCAACAGGAATTAAATTTCCCTGTGTGTGATCAATACAGTTGATCTTATCTCATAAATCAATCCCACCCCCTTTAAATAAGAATTAAGCCTGTCTTATGTTTATAGATTCATATTCTTTTCATGGAAATTTCCATCTTATACACTTAGGAAATGAACTATTTGCTTGTACTCTATTATTGTGCTTCAGTACAATATTTAGGTCCTTGTAGAGTATTTTCACGTGAGTTGCCCAGGAAATGCTGCATACTAAGTACAAAGTAATAAAAGGTTTTTGCATCTAAAATTTACAATCAACTCAAACAAATTAATCACCTTTTAACTTAAACCAAGTAAGGTCACCCAACACTAGTCCTAGTGTCAGTATGTCATAAAAGGGTCTTGAATTTCGAATCAGCCATCATAAAACGTTAGTCAGTTGACTGCATCTATAAAAGTTGATAAGTCATTAATTAAGGATTCTTATAATAATCAGTTAATTTCACAGTTGTAAATGTTGGTTGTGAATGTATTTTGGTCCAGATGCCCTGCAGATCTTGTCCAGAGAGTAAGTGTTCAAACAGTTCCCTGGAGGGGTTTTCCAGATAAAAAAAAAAGAAAGCTAAAATGACACAGCAGGTATGATGCTGGAGGCAGATTTTCTACAACCTGGCAACCCAAATGCTATTCTTATTAGACTTATAAATGATCTATAAAGGATTTATTAACCACTTATAAAGCATTAATTAATGCTTATAAACCTTTATAAAGGCTAATTTATGTAGAAGTGTTATTACTACATGTATCAGTAAAGATTTGTGCTCATGGTCATTGATAAGAGTCAGTGGTTCACAGAGGGAGGGACCTTGAGGGGTTTCTCATTGCATTTTAACTGAATCACCCATTTCACATACAATTTGATCTGCTCAAAAGTGAGTTTTGCTTATTGTTGTCTCACTTCTTATTTCCTGTTTGACCTTCACTGTGCAGAATGGTGTAGCTGTTATATGCAGAGTTGGACAGTAGAAGTCAGTTTTCACATTCATCCACTGAAGGATGTTTCTCTTAAATCTCATTTTAAAACTTGTAATCTGGAGGTCGATTATGGTCCAGTATCAATTGTGGAAAGTAACTAAATGCATTTACACAAGCACTAAAGTACAGTAAGTAAAGGCACTTGTGTTTTTATTTTATGCAACTTTATAGTTCTACTCTATTACATTTAGGGGGGAAATACTGTACTTTTTAGTAACATTTTGATTGCAGGACTTTTTTTTTGCAGTATTTTTACACTGTACTGTTCCTATAGTAAAGGATCTAAATACTTCTTTCACCACTATTCATATAATATTTATTATTTCAATGAGGGAGAAGGAGTAGATGTAATTTATAGACTTTTAACGAGGTAATTGAACTTTATATTGGGGGGAAAACATATTAGACACATTCAAAGGGAGTATTTTTTATATGCAATAAAACATAACAACACTACATACTCACTTAAGGCTACAGCTCAAAATTAGACAAGAAATACCTAGAAATAACACAAATAATAACACCAAAAAAAAACCCGTGGTAAACCTTTATTATATTTGTGTTTGAACAAAAATGCGCATTATTTATTAGCGTCCAGAGTAATGTGACGGTAGATAATAATGTGAGACAAACAGTGAGACAACAGTGAGACAACAGTGAGACAAACAGTGAGACAACAGTGAGGGTTGCTGGCTGCTCTGATGCGATGCTCCAGTGACGCTCTGTGGCTGCATCAGCGCGTGCACCGCGACAGCTCTCAGAGACGCTTTCTCTTCCTCGCGCTGCCGTTATCTTCATCACAGTGGGTCTACCGTACGCGCCACAATGGAGACTAAACCGGTCATCACCTGCCTTAAAACCCTCCTCATCGTGTATTCCTTCGTGTTCTGGGTACGTAACCATTTTCTTTTTGTGTGTGTGTATATAAACCAGCTGAAAATGATCGCAATCCATCCTAATCCACCGCTGCTGCTGCTGCTCTCTCTCTTGTGTCTGTGTGTGTGTGTGTGTGTGTGTGTGTGTGTGTTTTTGTCGTGCGTGATGAAGGGTGGACAGTCGGAAGGACGGGGCTCATGCTGTTGTTTAATATATTAAACGCTATATGGTCGACAGCGCTAGCTTAACGCCGCCGCTTTCTGCGTTTAAAGATGTGAATTTTAAAACCGTCTCCTGCCAGCCGTGGAGCTGGTGTTCAGGTTACACGTATTTTTGGCTGCTGGGCGTCAGTGGTGTGGATGCATTAGCACACATAGCATCGTGGTTGTTGTCGGTGGAGGATGTTAACATCACCGCAACGATTTAACTCCGTCTGATTCATCAGCGGGCCTGCTCTGTTTGATAAGGCCCGTATAAAGCCCATTTTCTGACCACCTACTGTACATTTTGGGGCCGTTGCTATAGATTCTTAAAGGGACCTCGCACCCCCAGTATATGTAACACCCACTGAGCCCATTGGTCCCTATAGGAGCACCTGTTTATAAGTCCACTAACACTTATACTACACTATAAAATACAGCAGGACTGCAGTAAATGCCTGCTATGATACTTTAGTCCAGGCTGTTCTTTGTGGTGCTGTTTTAATAGACAGTATTGGATTGAAGGTGAAGCCACAGCAAGTTATTTTTAATGATTTATTAATCTGCCAAAGGGTTTTCTCAGGTTTAGATTAGAAAATAGGTTTTTAAAAAGCCTTAGATGATGTCTATGATTGTCGTTCCTCTTTAGTTTACTATACTGTAAGACAAGAAGTAAAAGCAGCAAATCCTCACATTGGAGAAGCTGAAACCAGAGAGGGGTTTTGTAATTTTGCCTGATAAATAACCTAAAGGATTAAATCAGAATCGTTTTTTGGTCCACAATGAAAAAAACAGGTAGTTAGCACACAACAAATCTTGTAAGCTCCCGATAGTTTTGGTTGATGCAGTGTTTGTATTCGTCAGGCAAACATCCACATGAACAAAAGGCAGAGGCAAATCTTTACAGGCATAAAACCATGACAGCTCCACTTGCAATTAGCATATCACATGATACAAAATAACACCCACGTATCTTTTGTATGAAGTCATTCAAGTCATTTTTTGGGAGCTTGCAGTGCGCGGACTATCTCTCCTTTTTCTTTGTATGCTAGTTTTGTCCTGCACCTGTAGCCAGCAGGGGTTGGATGTGTGCACCGTCCACCATCTCTCCTTGATAGTGTGTCCACCATATTTCCATACTGCACAACGGAGGAGCAACAACATTAGACACACCCTGGAAAATGATATAAAACACAGCGCTACAAACGTCTCAAATAATAAGCTGAATCAATAGGATTTTGGCAGAGGTCTTAAGCTGCAACGCCTCACTCTGATTTGAATTGATGAAATGCTATGTTCGCAATGCTAAGCAAGCAGCATGTAACAACAGTCGTTTGAAGAATAGATTGTGCCCATACTTTCACTGTGATTAACGCTCTTTGTAGTAAGTGCCCTCAGGATTTGAGGCAGCAGATCACTCAGAAAGCATCTCTCAAACCAGATTTATTTGGTTGAGACTGCTTTCAATTTCGGGATAAATTAATTTGAGATTAACTTGAGAAATGGAATAGTATCACTTCTTCCCTGTTGGTTTTTTCAGTGGTTTGGATACGGCTTTTTTTTAACCTTTCGATTATTGACTCCTGATATATGACCAATCAATCAAAAAAACACATTAACCATAATCAAAATACTGTGTGACTAATTGACTAGTTTGATTAACTCTAACAATAATAATATTTGTGGGTTTTAGGCTCCGTCCTGTTTGTAAGATGTCTGATAGCAGCCAGATATAACCTGCGTAGGATTATTCAATAAGAACACGTGGAATAGATTTATCTGTCCATAATGTGTTTAGGACCTGAAGAGTACTTTGTCTGCATTCGCTCTGAACTGCAGGAAGTGAAAGTTGCTTAAATGCTGCAACTTGGCCTTGAATAAAACCTAAAGTAACTCCTCAAAGATTGGAGAAGAAAGTCGTGATAGAAACACAGAACTGAAATCAGTTTCAGTTCTTTGTTCACAAAGGCTTAAAAAGAGGAGCAGTGCTGTGTATCTCCCTGCACTGCAGACATGTGCCCGTGCCACTGATATGAACTTTTATATTTAGTCTGGATTGGACTGTCTCTAAGCGCTCCCTTCACATCTACAGCATCAGGTTTCAGACATCTAAAGTGCAGAAGTGTCTCACAGCTCAGTGGCTCTCTTTAACCCCGAGGGTGAAGTAGGGAGAGGTTCACTGGCACAGAGTTCGAAAGTGAGAGAGCTGCCTCAATGTCAGCCAGGCCTCGGTTTCACTGTCATCAGCTTGTCGTGGCAAGCAATGTCTTAAGTGCGAATAGCTATGTCGCCATACTTTAACACGTGCACACGCAGGACGGCCAAATGCGGAGCAGGTGGTGGAGTCTGCGTGGTGTCCTCGCCAGCATATTTTGTCATCGCACCTTCTGTTTCTTTATTAGGCTGGGGGAGGAGGAGGGAAGAGGGGTGACCTGTTTTAAACCCTGTGCTGTAACCAGGGTGGCCGGCCAAGCATTGAATTTCAAACAAAAAACGTGCGGGAGGGGGCTACTCCGCTCCAGGGAAGAGGAGGAGGAGGAGAAAAGGGGCACTGAAGCTGTTTGGGATTCAGCAGACATGAAGTCTAGATGACTTGCCCCTGCTACTTGGGCTTGATTTCCCTTTTGGCTTTAAAATGAACACTAGCATTGACAAGATGATCCTTTATTTGTATGCGACAGCAGCTCTTAGGGGTCCAGACATTTTGTTGCTGATGATATTACAGTGAGTACATCGTCATCTAGGGGACGGCTCTGGCTGTTAGAATCACTGTCAATAGAAACAGCAGATGTCATTACTGACGAATCAAGTCATAAGCCCGCCGTCCTTCAGTTCTGCCAGATAGTGGCTGAAAATGATGATGGGATCTGTAACATTAGAGTTGCAGCGAATCATCAATTAGTTGATTAACAGAAAATGAATCAGCAGCTGTTTTGATGATGGAATAATCATTTATTTTGTTGGCAAAAAACTCCAAACATGGATTTGATGCTTTTTGTTTGTCGTACATGAAAGTATATTCTAGATGAGGATGAGGCTTATAGCCGGGGGCACCAAATTACTGGCAAGTGGCAACGTAGCTGTGCATTCATGGCTGTGGATGGGAAGAAAATATTGCACTGGGTTAGCTAACTTAAACAAGCCTACACCCAATGGCAGACTTTTAGTATTCCAAACTTGATTTCCTGCTCAACTTCTAAAACCTTACGTAACAGCATTATAGCTTTACAATGGATTTCCTTTTACCTCAGTCATGAGAAAACACTGACATTCTTCTATATAAGTGAGGGGCCACAGTAAATGAAGGGGAGGTATCTTTATCTGGACTAAACAAGACATCAGAAGAATCACCTTGGGCTGTGGAAAATTCTTTTTTCACAATCTTCTTAGTCTGATCTGATCTTCTGATTTTATAGATAAAACAATTGATTCATTGATAAAATAGTCAATAGATTAATCGATAATGAAAACAGTTAGTTACAGCCCTACTTTACAACATATTAGATTAATTTGGTTGAGCAATATGATAATATATAGATGTAGATTTTTACATACTGTTTGTACCTCAGTATCCTCTTAATATCTTTGCATGTTAGGCTGATGGTTCTCACCCTTTTTGGATTGTGACCTTTTAAAGCAGATCCTCATCAGTATGATGCTCAGTACCTGAGCATTTATACATACGTATGTGATAATACATGTTTATACAACATGAAAATCAATACCTTGAGAAATTGCATCCCGTATAAAACCAGAAAACCCTTAGGCCTTTAGAAAATATCATCCAGGCATACAGCAGCCACAGGGGTACAGGAAACAACAGGATGAGGATGCACATTACAAAATCAGACAAATGTTTTTAAATAGAAAGTGTAGTGGCTCTCAGTTCTCACTATGTGGTTCAGCTCCATCAACTGTCTGAGGATTTATCATCTCGCATCTAACTGCCCACAAATCGTCAATAACACCCGTTTTTTTCTGATTTTGTTTATGTAATATAAAACACAGTTACAGCCACAGAGCCATAGTTAGAGATAAATACATTAGCAAAATGGTGGCAAACCAACAATAGTTCTGGTAATCAGTTAACCATTTAAGTCTGTTTAAGCCAAAATGCCAAAAGAAACTGGTTACAGTTTCTCAAATGTAAACATTTAGTGGTTTTCTGTGTCTTCTATGATAGTAAACTGTAAACTGTGTCAACTTGGGCTTTAGGAAATTGTGATGGGCAATTTTTTATTTGACTATTTCCTAATAATTTATAGACCAAATGATTGAATGCTAATGAATCAGAATCAGAATCAGAATCAGATATACTTTAATAAACCCGTGGGGAAATTACTTGTGGGGGGAAAACAGTCATTCGTTGCAGCCTTAAACCAGCATGTCTGTGATTTCAAACTATAGTTTTAGCTTATGCTTTCTTCAGGAGCCGCCATTCACTGTTTCACTATGTGTGTGTTTTCTCTTACTGTAACCCGTCTTATCATCTCACCCACGCCTTCAACTCATTGTCCCTCGTGTGTCATACTGTTGATTCATGTGTGGATGTTTGCATGAGACACGATCAAGTTTCTCACACAGCAGCTGTAAAAGATATCTTCATACCGCTCTCACTGTGTTTAAGGCTCAAATGACTCCTTATATCTGTGGTTAAACTGCAGTCAAATTCAGAACAATAAAGCAGTCAAAGGACAGGGTGGCCAGAGACCGGTGATCATTATGTGCACACCTTGCCAAGTGTAAATGTTGTTAACACGGTCATTAATCTACAGAGACTAGTTTAGGCCATAGTCAGAGAGGGAACATGACGGTTTGAGGGTATGCAAAGAAATATTTTTTGTATTGTTGGTAATCACTCAGGCCATAGGACATCGTTGACTAATTGCAATTGAGTTGGAACGTTTATTCAAACAGCAAAACTGATGTCTTCCCAGTGCTGTTTTCAGTCAAATTGGATCATTTTCTGCTGTGAGCTATTTCTTCTCAACGGTTTTAGAGGTTTCAGGGTGCACAGACAGAGACATTTTGTACAGACTGCTCCCTCTCTAACCAGAGGGCCTGGCAGCAGGACGGCGAACGGCCTCTCCTCTTGGAAGGAAGGAGGGTAGTATGATGAGTTGGCCCTTGCTAGAGTCAGATCATCAGCAGCCGTTCCACACCCCGCTCTCTTTCCAATGCCAGCAAGACATACCCAGCTGAGACACACGCCGCTTCAGCTGCCTCGTACAACACACTCTTTTATCCGCAGCCTTCATTTGAAATGCTAAGAGAGGCGCAACAGTAGGAAGCGTCTCGCCTCGGATCAAAGAGCTTCTTTGACATGTCCCCTTTCTTTTCCTCTGTCTGTGTGTGTGTGTGTGTGTGTGTGTGTGTGTGTGAGTGCAGGCATATTCATAAAGCAGGTGATCACTATCCCGCACTCCAGATAAATTTGTGTCTTCTGTCTCTCGTCTCCTCCTCCTTACTCTAATTGCTCTCCTTTCTTGTTCCACCTTGATCCTCTTCCTCCTCCTCCTCCTCCTCCTCCTCCCCTTCGCCACGCTGCTAAAACACAGCTATTGTAATATTGCAGAGGTGCAGAGATAAAGGCCTGTTCCCTGCTTTCATTCTGTTCCCTGTGCTCTCTCTGTTATATCCATCTTTCCAACTCCCGCCCTCTAGATAACAGGAGCCATCCTGCTGGCAGTGGGAGTATGGGGGAAGTTGATGCTGGGCCCGTACATCTCTCTTATAGCCGACAACTCCACCAACGCCCCCTACGTCCTCATAGGCACCGGGACCGTCATCATTGTTTTTGGCCTGTTTGGATGCTTCGCCACCTGCAGAGGAAGCCCATGGATGCTGAAGCTGGTGAGAGGCTGTTGGAGGAAGGGTGGGGTTTTATGCTGCAGGGAGAGAGAAAAGTGTTGTGGATGCTGATTAATTTGCCTCAGGTCACATGATAAAGGGAATAATGGCTGACCTCTGTCCTGTGGAGAGGGATCAGAAATCCGATAGATGCCGCAGGGCACTTTGTTCAGTTAATGGTGGTCATGTGAGTGTGTGTGTGTGTGTGTGTGTGTGTGTGTGTGTGTGTGTGTGTGTGTGTGTGTGTGTGTGTGTGTGTGTGTGTGTGTGTGTGTGTGTGTGTGTGTGTGTGTGTGTGTGTGTGTGTGTGTGTACGCGCACTCGTGTGTGACTGTGTAACCATAAGCAAATGATACTGATCTAAAGCAGAGGGTTTTTATGCAAACTATGCAAATGTCCCTCTTCCTTCTTCTGTTTCTGTAGTATGCCATGTTTCTGTCGCTCGTCTTCCTCGCTGAGTTAGTGGCCGGGATCTCTGGATTTGTGTTTCGCCACGAGGTTAGCACGCAACACGCCATTTAACAACTTTTTAAGTCAACACTAAAAGCGCTCTTAGGCTGTCAATGTGTGTAATCGTGTGCGTATGTTTGCACGCTCCAGATAAAGGGAACCTTTCACAGGACATACACCGACGCCGTCCTGAACTACAATGCTGAGGATGAGGCGAGCCGTGCTGTTGATAATTTGCAGCACAAGGTAAGTCCCTGTGACACAATATTGTTAAACAGCTAATAAATGCATCAGCAGTAAACCAAAACACAGCTCTGAATGCTAAAGGTTTGCATTTTTTAAAGGCTAACACCAGCAATTCTGCATATTATCAACACATCTCATGAATAGACCAAAAACAGGAATTAATGTATGCTACGAACAAGTCAAACCCTGATAGAGCTTATTTGTCCCTGCCATAGAGCTCCATTGTTGTCAAAAAACACATCAGTGAGCTACACCACTGTTATGGGTGACATATTCCTTCATTACGGTGAACAAGGGAAATGTCATTTATTTTGTATCATTCCCACACAAACGCCTTGAATACTCAGTAGTGCCCCAAATACGTTTTAAACCGCAGCTGAAAATGCACTATTTACTCCTGTTTGATTAGTGTTACTAAACTACCATAGTTACTAACTAGTGTTAAACCACAGTGCCCAGCTGTACTACATATTTATGCCTTCAATAAGAACAAATAATGGTTGAGTGCAACAGACAAGATGGGGAAGTTAAAAACTATTCAAACAGACACATTGTTTGTTTTGGTCTTCACATGTGATTTGTTGACAGTAAAAAAAAATATTAAATAATGCCTTAACCAGTGCTCTCTCTTTTTCTGTGCGTTTTAGCTGCGTTGCTGCGGAGTGTATAACTACACCAGTTGGTTTGGCAGTGTGTATTACCCATCCAATGGCATTCCTGCCAGCTGCTGCTTTAACTCCTCTGACTGCAATCCAGAAGACCTCCGTAATACAACTCTAGCCCCAAGCAAGGTCTACCACCAGGTCAGTATGTTAAGTTCTGCTGCTAGGTACTTCATGTAGTTTATGAATGCTTATAAAGACTGCGTTTACATCTGACAGGTCCTCACTCACCTTTTCAAACCCTCTTTCATACACTAACAACTGCCTCAGATACTCTCCCAGATATCCATCTTGCCCTTAATTTGCACATATAACATGTCCCAGTACCCTCTACAAACTAACATGCCCCCTATATTTCAGGGATGCTATGAGCTGGTCACTTCTTTCATGGAAACCAACATGGCCATTATTGCAGGAGTGACGTTTGGGATTGCCTTCTCACAGGTAAGAATTGGGAAAAAAATTGCAGGTGATGGAGGGCAAATAAAAGGAGGCATGTGTAGGGTTTTAGCATCAATAAATTACGTTAAGAAAGCATGTAACAATACTAAAGGGAGGAAGGGGATACTAGTAGCACCATCATCATCTTACAACAGTAATGAGTAGGTTTCACAGGAAATGATGTCTTTATTTTGAGAAAATGTTAATCCAAATATTTTTGAACCCCAAACATAAAGTAAACCAAATCCCTTTTCTGTCTGTCTTTCAGCTGATTGGCATGTTGCTGGCCTGCTGTCTGTCCAGGATCATCACAGCCAATCAGTATGAGATGGTCTAGCTGATGTGACGTGGCAGGTGAGAAACATTAAAGATGCACACACAAAAGCAACCACACACATTTAAATGTTCTATATGTAAACTTTCAGCAAACCATTGTTAATCATGACAACAGTGGCTATTAAGTGAACTGCAGTCAGCATCCTGTAGCTTGCGGTCACACTCCATACATAGTCCATACGCTCAAGTGAGCATCGTCCTGGGCATCAGCCAAAAGTGACATACACTAGACTGAACACTGGGAAATAAATTATAGTCACATTAAGAATAACGTTACTATCCACAGTGTTCCTATATTTTATTTGGACCATTGACTCCATGCTACAAACTAGCTCGCTGTTTACAAATCACCCCATTGATTGTTATGTCACCGTTAGCTGGTGAAGTAATTTTGCTAGCTAAAGTTAGCCAACTAAAATATCGCCTCAGACAATATTTTGTGGCGATAACACTAGCGAGCAAGCAAATTAGCCAGGTTAGCCAGCCAGCTGCAAAGCACCCTGCAATGCCGGCCGATAAAGTAACCTGCAAACGGCAAGCCAGATCAGCCCTGGGATTATTTTCCTATATTAGCTAGCTAGCAATTTGTCAGTGTTAGCAAGCTAACATTAGCCAGCTAAAAATACAAAATCACAATAGATTTCAAAAGTTCAGTTCAGTAAAGTTTTGACTTTGGACTTTGTGTTGGACTCTGTTGCGATGGGTGCCAGTCGTTTGTAGACGTGAGCGGACTCCATTTCCACTGTTGCACACTTTTGACATTGTAGAGAAACGGAGAGAGAAGACACTTGGGAGCGCACGTAAACGTCACATGGGGGGAGTCTATGAATCCTCAGCTCTTATTTTCAAATGTATACTGATCGAGACATAGCGTCTATTAAATTTGCTGAGAGGGAGGGAACTAGCAGAATTGAGGTTACACTTTAACACTGTAAAAAATACAAGTACAATATAAACGGTGTCACTCGTAGTGACAAGCTTACACCCAGAATTATCACCAACTTCCACTCAACTATACAAAGTGTTTTAGTGCCTTTCAGCACAGGGTTTTGGTTTACTGTTTTGTTTCAGCCACAGTTCTCATTAGCTGCTTTTTTCTGCAGTAAAAACTGTTAAACTCAGTGTACACTATCTGTTTAACACCAAACAGCAGATAGACAAAGTTAACTAGCTGGTGAACATAGTGGAGCATTTAGCTAAAGAGCCAGACACTTTCCTTCGGGTGTTGGTGGAGACCAAACAAAGCTAAAAGGAAAGTCGGTATTAGACTTACATACGCCAGGTGGCTAAATAAACAAAAATGTTAATTTGTGCTTGCTGGATGTGTAAATAGGCAACTGTTTGCTAACATTTTTGTCATACAGTAAAAAATGTCGTGTTTTCATCTTGTTCCACTTCCCCCAAGTGGCCAAACAGTCAATGACTGCAAGTTAAAAGGTCCAAGGATCTATTGGGAAATATAAAAATCATCAGTATGTTTTTATTAGTGTATAATCACAAAACATCGCAAATCCAAATATTGGCTGTAAATAGGGCCTTTCACGTTTTTCACTAGTTTTTGCGGCCACCGTAATTTCTCCTTCAGCCCGTTCTAATTCCCAGGTCACCAAATTCAGATGCGAGCGGTGTTCAGTTAGTCTACAATTTCACAGCTAGATGCCACTAAATCCTACACAGTGGTCCTTTAATTCATACACAATTAACTCTTCTTTATTTGTGTTTTTGTATTTTCAGGGAGATGAAGAGACGAAGAGACAAAGAGCCTTGACACATGACAAGAGTAAATTCCCAAAACACTGTCACATGTCTGTATTGGAATTTACCTCCCTCCGTCTCTCTGCCTGTGATCTTAATGTAATATCTTAATGTATCTTATTGTAAAGCACCATTCCTTGACTCACTGCTGTTGCATCAAAACGTTCTATACCACACATCACACTGCTGCTTGATGTAGAAGTTGCTCATTAGCACATATCTCGGATCAGTACAGCCTACAAAGTACAACAAGCAGGTAAACCAGAGTTGTCTGAGCCGTGTTGGTCTCAGATAGGCGATTGGGTGCAACTTGGCTTCTCAGTTGGTTACAGCATGCTTCACCAACCGTCATCAGAGGACCACTGCACATCTTTGTACAGATTGACATTACTAAAGCTTGAAAGTAATACTTTAATAGATAGGTTTAGTTTTGCATTTGACTTTGCTATGGCTCACCATTGTATATTCCTATGGTTGTGACATTTTGTGAACTGATTATGCGTACTGAGGATGATATTTTAAGTTTATAGGAAAAAAAAGGAAACTGACGAAAGAGAGAAAAGGGAGAGTTGTTTTTTAATCTGTAGACAAGACACAATATTTTTTTGACCTGATAATTTAAGTCAGTGGCAGGTTATGAGATACGCTACATTTTAACATTGTAATTCACTATCAGTTAGAGCTTTAGTCTAGGGTAAACACACAAAAACATGGATTCAAAATAAGAAGCTTTACTGTCACAGTCCCACAGTAACTTTACACCAAATTTACAGCCTTTACATGCACTTAAAAAATGACTCGATTGGTTTTTGGAGGGAAATAAATTTAGTCATCAAGTAAAACAAACAAATAAGGTCAGTTGTGGAACAAATCTGTTACAATGTAAACTGGCGGCCAGGTCACACCAGAAAAGCATGTAGTCTCGACAGTAATGTCAAACAGTTTATTCAAAAGATGAGTTGTATCATCAGCTCCTGTCTCATAGCTGTTTGGAGCAGTTTATTCTCCAACAGAACATACTATTGCATAAAAACGGAAGCTGCAACACAGCTAATAAGCTACTCCTCAATGTTAGCGCTCTGTCTCCCTTAAAGGTCAGTTCTGTTAATAAAACCATGTTAGCACTGTTTAATTTGCTTGCTCTTCATTAGCGAATCCACTCATTACAGAGACTTCATTCAAATGTATTGAATTCGACACAAAATTTTGCAAAATTTTCTGGTGTGACCTGGCCATTTCAGGCTCTCAATTAAGCCCCTAACACTCAATTATCTTTAAATTCGTACGGCAAATGTGTCTCTGTTTCGAACAGCCACGCTTCAAGGCGAGGTGAAAAACTTGCTGTCATCTTAGTGAGCTTTGAGATGCAATGAATCATACAAATGGGGATAACAGTTTTGGACAGGTTCTCCTCAGAGGCATTCATTCATTGTCGGATAGAAAGTGACAGAAGAAGTTGTTTGGAGAATGAAGACCAGAGATCGTGGGAGAAATTTAAATCCTGCCAACTTTCACACCTCCACACACCTGGCCAATCTAAAAAACTGAGTAAATCGCAAAATGTCAGGATTTAGCTTTAAAGATCTACTTAACCAGCTGAAAATTTTTTTTTTTTTTGCTGACCTCAACAGATTAAAGTTGACGTTGCTGCAGTGATGTAGAGGTGTACCTGACATCATGGTTGGGGTGTGGTTACAGGTGCACAACCAGGATTCTGGGTGTGAACAGGCTTAGACATTTTCAACCACAAGAGGTCAGTAAAACACTGATTTTCAGCCCGTTAAGGTCATATCAAATCATTAGGGTGATGAATTGCTTTCTTCTGGAGGAATATCATGCCAGCTGTGTGTTACAATGAGAGAAGTCGACATTAGAGATACGCAGGACTCCAACAGTGTTCATCTAGTATTTACAGTATTCTATGTAGTGCATCAACATGCCATCATCGTCATCATCATCATTATCTGTAGATATTTATTGGAAATGTAATTTATATAATGTAATGTTTCTCATTCTAATACGCTAATCAGTATAAATGTTGTGTCACAGTTTTGATTCCGCACTTTGTGCTGTTAATCTGTATTTGTTTGATAGTTTATAGAAAAATCGCACTGAAAAAAATTATTGTGGCCAATGTTTTGTTGAGAGTAACGTGCAACATGTAGCTGTTTCAATTTAGCTGTATATTTATTATGGTTTGGTTGGCATTGCGTTTACAGTTTCACCAAGTGATTTTCTATCTCTCTTTCGGTATGTGTGTTGTTCTTTATTTGTCTCCTTAACCTTGAGTGTGTATTTTCCTTGTATGACAAGTTGTGTGTGTGTGTGTGTGTGTGTGTGTGTGTGTGTGTGAGTGAGTGAGTGAGAGAAAGAGGGAGAAAGAAGAGAGAGAGAGAGAGAGAGAGAGCATCTAGATTTTGTGGATCCTGTTGTATTCAATTATGGTCAGTATTTGGTTGTGGCTTTTCCAACCTTATTGCTTTTAAAGCTGTACATTTATTTAGTGAATGTATGTTTTCCAACACTTTGAAACCTATTTTTCCTTCCCCAAACTGATATTGTCCTGTAAATACTAAATTGTAATACCATCCTGCTTACACATGGGGTCACCAGACACTCAAAAAGAATTGCACCCTGCTGTCTACTATTGACTAAGTCACCATCAGTGGTCTTATTATCAATAAATATATAGAATAACTGTTTTGTTTAGCGTTTGTTCATTTCGCTATGATGGAGATGGCTCAGTACATTTTAAATGTAGAATCAAACAGGTGTCCTATACATCTGTTTATCAAAGCTGTATGCGAGCAGTGGCCGTCCTGGTCTACATTTCAAATGTTTCTACAAGACTGTTTCTGAAGTTGAAACCCCTGTTAAAGTAGGATACTTTACTACAAATGGTAAAGCCTTCAATAACAGTATATTTTATTGATTTATTAGCTGTTTTATCTCTTGGAAAAGTTATAATTTGAGCTGTTTCCAAACAGTAATCAGGACAAATTATATTTTTAGTTTCAGGATTAGTGTCAGAAGAGGTCAAGTCAAGGGTTAAGGCATATTGAGAGCTGGCTAAGTTGTGTGGATAAAGGTATGTGTGGGTGGGTGTACATCTAACTAGGACTCAGGCATCAGAGAACAGCAAGTTAACAGTACGACTTACAGTGAAGTGATTTACCTCTGCTCAACCGAGGGCAACAAAAACAATTTGAATGAATATTTGCTGCTAAAACAAAAGTCACCTGCTTGACCTTGAGTTGTTCCCTTTACATCACCTATCAGTGTGTGTTCTGACAGAATATAATATTTAGGACAACAAAATTAAAGTCAACAGACATAGGAAGAGTCTTATATATAATAAAATAATCTACAAACTTTTATCAAACTGGCTACAAATACACAATTCCACAATTAAACCAGTGTTATCAAATAGCAGTGAACTCTGTGTTACAGTGCCGTGTCCCTGAAACATCCAGACAATGAGAAACTGAACAAGTACCCAGTTTTAAAGCCTTCACACACATTCTCAAAGTCAATAGAAACACAACAAACAATGGATGCTGGGTTAAATTAGGCAAAAGGCCCATTTTAATTAGGAGGAGACGATGGAGAGAATTTCCCTCATTCCAAAATGGACAGGCATGCAATAGATGTGGTGGGAGATTATCTGAGTGCCTTGAGCAACCTAAAACTGCGAAAGACAGATTGACACTGTAATTCAGACTGCGTGACCACAAGCTGCCATTGAGACACAGACAAACCAGGAGCAACACGGAGAAAACAGACAGTTCTGCCAAAAGGAGGTGAGGACAAAGGAACCCTTTCTGCTCCACTGCAGCCTGTGTGAACACATAGGACACAAGTTTTTGTTTTACCAAAATAAAACACAAACACCAAGAATTTGACACACTGTCAGGCCAAAACCCAAATTCACTGCTCATTTGAGAAAACAATGAGTTTGCCTTGAGAAGCAGACCGAGGGGAAACCAGCAGAAAAGCACATGAAACTCTACTCCTCCTTTTATCATATGAAGGCCCTATTATTTATTTTCTACTCAAAAGAGAAGAAAAAAACCCATTATATGTTCTAATCATTCTTCTATTGTACTTTGTGTTTTAAATGAACATCCACTGAACTTGCCGAGGCTGGTGCACTTTATGACATCACTGAGTACCACCCTGGTCCACATGGCGGCGCTTGGGTATCAGCGGAAAACGGAGCTGTGGAGAGAGAGGGAGAGAGAGAGAGGAGGAAAAAAAGCCGCATGTGTGGGAGAGTACCACACACACACACACACACACACACACAAATTCTCCGTCTTTCTCCGTCCGCCTGTTCTCCTGCGCTGCTGCGGGCTGCATCGGAAACAAGGCCGGGGGAAAAAAAGGCGGTGGGAAGACGGATAAGAGAGGCTGCTACTCGGGGAGATCGCGCTAACCGGGCTCGCCCCAATCTCGTTACGCAAATTAGCGGCGGAGCGGCGCGGCAGTGGGTCCGCTAATGGAGCGTGCGTGCCGCTGGCTCCCGCGCCCCTGCCTCCCCCCCCTCCTCCCCTCCTCCCCTCCGCCTCCCGAATACACTTAATGGGTTATAGGCTAGAGGGAGGCATCCACCGGGGAAGCGCTATTACTCACGCAGGAACACACAAACCCCGGACTCAAGAGCGCACCTACACGTTCAAGTGCAGCCAGTCCGGTTGTGGATGAAAAAAAAAAAGAAAGGGGCCTGGCTGCAATCCTTACATTTTTCTTTTGAACACAAAGTGTTAAGTTCAGCCTCATTTTTGACTCCGACCATCTGTCTTCTGAGACAAGAAGAAATGTGTAAGACATAAATAAAACAGGTGACAGGTGTTGCTGGTAGCTTCATACTGGACCAGGCAGGGGCGGATCTAGAGAAATATTTATGGGGTGGTTAGAGGGTGGCATAGAAACTTAAAGGGGTGGCATAAATATATTGGGATTTAATCTCAAACAGTCACACGTATCTGTATTTGCTTGGAAAATCCCCCAAATGAGCCCCAAAAACAACAATACTGGGAACGTTAGTACAGAATTGAATAAAAACATCTAAAGATGGCATTAGAAATTAATGATTGGTTTTTATTTCCAAATCTTCAGAGATTGTCTCTTTACACTGAACTTAAGCTCATCGCTTAGTGTAAAATGTGCGCCATAACAGATCATTAAATGAATTTTAACATGTTTTTTTTATGAATCTAAATTAGTAAATTAAATCTGACAGCATTTTGCACCTAACAGGCGTTGTAGCTGAGGTGGCAGCTGCCACTCCATGTCACCCCTCTAAAAAAGTATTTGGTGAATTTGTCATGTTTTATACATTTCACGGTATATTATATGAGTTGAAAGATATGTAAATGTAATTTTCCAGCATGAAGGACTACATGCTGTTTCAAAGCCTTTTCTACATTTCCTGGAATAAAAGTCGCGCTGTGAAATTTGAGAAGTTGATCTACTTAAAATATCTAGAAATCTAATTACCTTGAAAATAAAGTACAGGTTCAAAGTACTGTATTCATATCTTTTTGTGAAGCGGACTTAAAATTACTTAATTTTAAACATAGAAATAGTAAGTAAACTTGTTCAGAGTTTCAGCCACTTCAAAGAGTACTCCACAGATTTAGCATTGCACTCCTGTAACACTCTCGGACTCATTCATAAGCTTTGAAGTCACATTTTTTAGCCCCTGAGCTGTTAGCCTCAAGTTAGCTGAGAAGTGACGTACACAGGTCTGGTAAACTCATTTCTTTCTGGTAAACTAATTTTTTTCTAACCCCACACCCCTACGCTGACTCGAGTGACATCACTGGAGGCAGTTTATCAGATTTCACAGAGCTCCCTCTGGAGCCACAAAAGGCTTTATACAACTTTTTTTCACATTTGCTGTAGTAACTCCCCTATAAACAGACTTTGATGTGTAAGATCAGTGGAGTTCCCCTTTAAGTAGACTAAGTTAGTGTGACTTAACAGGCCACATCGTTAATGTTATGATGAACTGCTATGACAAGTTAAAATGTCTAATGTGAAAAAGGCCGATTGAACAGTTCTGTTTACCCACTAGAGTTTAGGAAACGTGTTGCCTCAGAATAATTAACAAATCATTATCAGGGGGATTCATTTCTATTAAAATGTAATTTTGAACAAAGTAACTAAGGCTGATGTCTGTTAAAACAAACTATATAAAAATACAGTATATAAATGAAGTTCCAGTGTCTGAAAGGCTTACTCTTTATCCTTGATTTAACATGGGATTTCAGTCAGGCTCCGGCAATATTCAATGAAGGTTTCACCTCATATTTCACCAATCCTGTTGTTGGCCTTAAAGAGTAGGATAGGTTTTCAAGGCTGTCTTAAAACAATGGCCCGGTAGGTTTAGTGTAAAGTTTCCTTTGTGTTTGCACAGTCAGTGTTTCAGTGTTGAGCTGCAGTGGAAAGATGGTAACAAAAAGAGGCAATTTTGTCCCTTAGTACAAAGGACATTTCTGAAGGGATTTTTTTATGTCCATTATGAAGAGGAGGAATGATTACAGCAAGCAAAAGCTAAAATGGGAATCTCACTATTGTTTTAATAACTAAATTAATTAATTAATATTGATTTCAATAACCACCAATTTTTCAGTAGGAAAATCTACTTACATCATCAGGTTGTTCAAATCTCCCAAAATACCCGGTTGATGAGATTTTGTCTGTTTAAAGGGAAAGTTCAGAGCTTGTAGAGAGGGACTCGTACCACTTTAGTGCCACACACAGTCCTGCTGATGTGCCACAATGACTGCTGCTCGTCAGAAGAATAATTTTGTTTTAGTGAATATTACCAGCCTCAAATCATAACATTAAGTGGCTCGTGTGGCTCAGCATAAAAGAAATGTGTTTTCAAATGGCAATTTGATCAGATTAGAAATCTTATTAACTCTATGACAGGAATTACTTCACTGCTTTAATATGATCTTTTTTATGAATTTCATTTTCAAAAACTTGCAGAGGGAGCACTTAAGCTTTCTCTCTTTCAGACACACACACACACACACACACACACAGAGAGAGAACATCTCTCTTGTCATCCACAATGATACCTCATTTACTACCTTATAAAGTAATATAGCAGGCCTGTCCCACTCCACCCGTCTATTTGGGATGTGAGTTGTTGCCGCTGCTGTTGTTGTTCTAATTGCCGCTGCTGCCTCGCCTCCAGCTTCCCTGCTGAACTGAGACACCCGGCCGTGCCTCACACTTTTCAGTAACATGCAGTTGTGATGACAAGTACTAGAGTTCCCACTCAAGCTGCCTGTTCCTATAGTGCAGCATCCCCCTACCCCACCATCCCTCCCTCCCTGCCTACCACCACATCCTCCTCCTCTCTCTCTCTCACTCACTCGCTCTCTCTCTCTCTCTCTCTCTCGCTCTTCTTGAGGCCTTGTGGGATGATGATGACACCCGCCGTAATCGGTGGATGCTCAGCTTCTGACATGACACACAATCGAGAAAACCCTTCCGAACTGATCCGGGTTTCATTGTTGCATTCAGGCACAGCGCGTCCTCTGACAAGTAGAAGGGGCCTCTCACAGGAGAATAGAGGAAGTCAGTGAGGTGGGGCCTTGATTGACAGCCCTGTTGAGAAGGCAAAACCAGCTCCTGTTCCTATCTGATCTCGGCTCAGCGGTGCGCAATTGCTCTGCTGAC